CTATGTGCTTTGCCAGCAGACCAGCCGGGATTTCCGGTAGCGAGTCCACCTGGTGATCAAGAGGCGGATGTCTGGCAAAGACCTGTTCCACGTGGTCTCGAAGCAGGCGAAGCTCAGAGGAAGAATCCAGCAGCAGACCGTCCGGCCCCTGAAGCTGTGCCTTAGTTTGAGGTTCCCAAGGTCGGAGCTTCTTGAGGGTCTTGTGTGCGATGTAAGAATCGTGCCTGGCACACGCCTCATCGACCTCAGCCTGGAAAGCTCGGTGTCGTTCCTTCTTGGCTAAGTAGAGAGCCTGCTTATGCCATCGATTCAGGTCCTCCAAAGACTGATCTAGGTCGGATAAGGTGGTTATGGAGTCCTCATGCAAAGAACGAATATGAGCGACTCGACTCCACATTCGCAGCGTCGCACGGTGCTGAGCAGTTTCAGGAGCTTGCTGAGGCCGTGGTTTGGGGAAGAACAGTGCAGAGGCCTCCAGCAGTACCTGATTGACTTCATCAGGCGTGTGAGTCCGAGAGGACAGACGCTGGCCCACCCAGTCCTGCATGCGACCGGCTATTGGCAGACCTGAACGGACAGCCGTCTCTAGAGCTTCCTTATGAAAGGTCGTGGAAGGACAAGCAGGCTTTGGCAGATTCCAGTGCTGGGTGGGTCTGATTTGAGCCAAGACTGGAAGGTGGCCGCCCCTCTTCCATTTGCCGAGCTGAAGATCCTTGCACGGCCGAGACTGCTTTGCCAGGCCCTTGGCCGAGGCTTCTGAAGTGAGCAGGAAGTCAATTTGTGATCCCTGACCATTCAGGAAAAAAGTGTGACCTGCACCACTAGACCAAGTGTTAAGAGCTACCAACCGATGGGAGGAGACTAAGGCCTGGAACGATTCATCCTGCATCTGAGTTTGCTCTGGCTTGGTGCTACACTGACCTACCAGACCCTCCTGCGGGGTCAGTCGAGCATTAAAGTCTCCTGCCAAGAGAAAAGTATCTCGCGCTGGAATGGCCCGTATCGCAGCCGACAGATCGCGGAGCAGGTGTGAGCGGTCATCCTTGTTCTGCTGTGGAGTCTTCTTAGAAGACCAGGCATGTTGGTAAACCGCTAGTACATGCACACGAGCCCCAAGCCACGGGAAGATGACCTGAATGAGCCTTCCCCGGCGTTGCTCGCGCCATCTTATCTTCTTCTTGTCTATCTGCGGAGAGAGAAGAACCATGACGCCGTCCGCTCGGCTTGTGTCGTGAACAGCCGGCTGCGTGGCAGCGCCTTGCTTGGGGCGTTGCCCTGGAGTGGCTTTACCTTTAGGTGCTCGAGCAGCCCCTTTTGTGGCGGAGCTGACGCAGTGCCAGCCTTCGACATCAAATTCTGCTGTCTCACTCCAGTGGGTTTCCTGAAGGACAAGAATGTCACAGACTGACTTGGCCTCCGTGCGAAGCCATGTCTTCACTTCTGCCCATTGTTGCATGCCAAGGTGCCCTGCATTCCAGGAGAGAACACGAAGAGACTTGCTGGCACGACCGCCTCTCGGGCGCGAGCGGAAACTGGCCGAGATACCTGAGGGACCTGAAGGAGAAATCGTGGAGCTAGGCTGCACTGGGAGGGGGGGAGGGGAGGGGGGGGTGAGTCCACTGCGACGCAGATGTTCAGGCGTCAACGTACCATTCCGGTACGGGATGCTTTCTTGTGTTCTATGAACCTTATTGCAAGCCTTGCGAAAGGCCTTCTTGCGAATGCTCTCAAATGAATGCTGGTGCATTGGCGATTGCGCCGTCCGCTAGTTTCGCCGGAAAGAGAGAACTCGAACCGACTCCTTTCACCCTGCGGAAAAGGTGAAAACCACTACCGCTTACCTCATGCCAAGGTTGTATAACTGCAGACAGAGGCCCGGGAATTGGGACCCGGTAGATCACAGCGACACGCGGCTCCGGGAATGGCTATGGCTCAGTAAGAGGACGGTCCCTTAAGCTTCGCAGAAGGGGCACGTTGCGAGCCTCTAGCGTTGGTACCCAGAGCCTTGTTAGCAAAGCTACACAGCCTGCTGTGATCCATAGCGGCTGTAACAGTAACAACAGCAACAACAACAACAACAACAGTTCGGAGAACAGTGTGAAGAATCAGCATATTTGTAGTAGTTCCAATCAGAATCACACTCGTGCTCAAAGCAAGACCCAGGGTATAGTAGCAATCACTAAAGCTAGAAGAATGAACATGGACATAGACGTTGCACTTGACTGTTTGCACCAATATACACAAGTATAGAACCTGCGTACTAACAACAACTTAGTGAGAATCATAATTCTACCATTGTCACAGTAAGACTTATGATCATGGTTCTGACAACGGTGTGGTGACAATTGCTCTGGCCCAGTCCCAGTCCGGCAAGCCCAAACTCCAATCCCAAAGTTTTCAAGCCTGATCCTATCACGCGGGCCGATCCTATGATAAGACCGACCCAGGCGACCCATGGACTCAAGTATCTCGAGCCGGAACAACCCGAGCAGCCTGAATAGCGATTCAAGACTTCTTGGAGGTTCAGGGGTAGTTATAGGTGGGGTTATAAGTCCCCTAATATGGGTTATAAGTATAGTTACCCTACTTAAAACCCTACTTATGACTTGCCGTGAACCTCCAAGGAAGCCCTAAACCTTATACCCATACAGAATCCCTTATAGATTCCTTTAAAGGGACCCTTAAAGGAACCCTTATAACTTATAACCACCCATGAACCTCCTAGTTGCTGTCGATGCCAGGACGGCGGACAGTCAGACCGTCTCGAGTGGACGCCTCGGCCCTTTGAATGCCGCCCTCCAGGCTGGGGGTTTGCACTTCCGGCGATTTAGTAACTAGGGTTATAGTTAGGGTAACTATACTTATAACTCCAATTGAGGTACTTACAACCTTTCTTTCTAAGCTTCCGACGCATGGATTTCGAGAATTTTTCCTCCTATTGAAGGGGTGTCAGGCTCAATGTTGATCCACAGTGGAGCCCTCTTGCATTTGTCGTGTTTGGGCTTCCTCTGATTAGAACACCAACCAACACCAGAAAGGGCGCGCTAGTTTTACCGGGCTGCCAGGGGCCATTAAAATTAACATCGAGCAAGCAGCTTCAATTTCAGATGTTTGGTTGAGGCGTGCGGAGTCCCAGCCCCGCCCAACTCCAATGCATCCCTTCCACCTAGCAGCGCTACCTTGCAGAAAGTATCAAAGAGACCATTCCCAGTTCCTGGAAGCCTGCAGCCTAGTTGTTGTAGTTGCCCTCTGAGACCAACGAGATCCTCGTCATAAGCCGGAATACCCAGGTTTGGGGTGTTTAGGGTTTCAAGCCTGGCGTGTACAGCTTGTTGGTTCAGGGGCAGGTGCTTGTCTTCAGATTGCACTCACGCTTTGGTATCCCGAACTGCAAGGACCCCTACCCAGCTCGGACCTTCAAGCCTCAATGCAGTTCGGGGGGGATTCTAAAAAGACCGGGAGTGCCGTGTTTAGGGGATGCCATTACGACGACCCTAGTATTTTGCACGCGTAGTGGGGTCCTGTACAGTATTTTCTGAAGCCATGACTGGTTCCTGAATGTCTTAGCATAGCGATGCTGGAGAACTTTTTGGCAGTTCCTCCTTACAGCCAACGTCCATGAGTCACATGAGGCTTTCTGTTTTCACCACAGGCTAAACTACGCCTGAAGGAACCCTGGCAAAAGACCCATCGCGGAAGCCTATGCTACAATCGGACTCGACTATAGAACCTCCGTGCCCGAATCTGGACTTCCGTGAAGGTTCGCACAAAGCCCCAAGGCTTCGTGTTTCCGCACCAGCTCGAGGTGGGGGGGGCCCTTGGCTTCGGGGATGTTTGGGGTTGTTGGGGCGACAACTTGGAGTTCAGGGTTTAAGCTTGTAGGCACGAGAGTACCCTTGCATGTCTGCTGCCGTCACCAAGCTCCAGTGGCACAAAAGTTGCAAAAGGGTTTCAGAAGTTGGTGTTCCTTTTCAAAACTTGTATCCTTCATTGATTTTGGTTCATGAGTTTTCTTATCGCAGAATCTCCAGACATTATTGCCCAAACTGGGTGTCACCTGGCAGGCTTGGGCCAGGTACTGGGGTTCGGGATCTGTAGCATAAAAGCAGTTCCGGGGTTCAAGGTGTAGGACTAAAGGGATTCGGATTATAAGCAGGTAATCGGCTGAGGGCGTATCAGCCCTGCCGTCAAGGGTCCGGAACCTGTTGGGTAGCCTACACGCGCAGCGTAGTATAATGTTTGTAAGTAGATGGATAGATGCATGCATGGGTGGACGCATGTATGTTTGGATGTGGGTATCTAAGCCCATCCTGCGTGCGTGTGTGTGTGTGTGTGTGTGTGTGTGTGTGTGTGTGTGTGTGTGTGTGTGTGTGTGCGTGTCTATATGTATACATGCAAGTATGTGTGAGTAGACGTCCTAGCTTTTTATTCATCCCTTACTCTAATAAGTCGGAACCTTATGTGCAAATTCCAAGCTCCGGAGGCTCATTCGTTGAAGCTCGGGCGCATTGAGGAGAGGACCACTGTGTTTCAGCCAGAGGGGTTTGCGCTTTTCGGATAAAGCTGGTTTGGGGTGCACCTGCTGCAACTCTCATGCTCGACCCGTTGGGGTTTAGGCCTAGGCTTCTGTGGGGATCCCCGGCTTTCCAAGCGCTGAGCCCCAAACTTCCCCTCGTCTCGACACTCGACACCACGCGCGACAGCTTCAGGGCGAAGTCGGAGACTCACATCTCTGGGTATTGGACCTGGTGCTTTAGTGGGGCTTAGGGATTGCTTCGGAGCTTCTTTACAGTCCAGGTAATGGCCCCTAAATTAAAGTCTTAAGCTCCAAGCCCCCCAAAAACTGGACCCTAAACCCTAAACCCGGAGGGAAAATAACCCTAAACCTAAACCTAAACCCCGTCGAACCTACTTCTGCAGACCTTGCCAGGCTTGTCCGAGACTGAGTGTCAAAAAACCTAAACCCCGAAACCCCAGAGCCGCCAGAGCCAAGGAAGCGGATGGTCCGGGCGCAGCGACAGTTCGAGCGGCTGACGCTTCCTCGAGAGGAGCTGGACTTCCAGGCGAGGGGTTCGGGGGATTCTGTGAGGGTTCTTTGAAATAGGAGTTTCCAAAAACAGGGGACCCCAATATAGTGCCCTAAATTCTGTGAGGGTTCATTTAACGATTGCCTTGAAATAAAGTTGTGTTTTTAGGTTTTAGATGAAGGTTTCGTAGGGCTCAAGATGCATACTTCTCACGTAATCACTAGTCTTGTGTGTGACCAACTCTTTAAGACTGGCATGAGCTCCAGCGGGTTCGAAGGTTCGCCATTGCCTGGACACGCATTTTGTCTTGGGGCGGCGAGACAAGCTAAGCTGATGCAAGAGGATTGGGGGTTTAGAGTTTAGAGTGTTGGGACTTCCGCAAGGTGCCGATACCGCAAGCCCAAAACCCTGAACACTTTCGAGTCTTGAAAGACCGAAGAACCTGAACCCAATACACTACCTCATCTTGCAACTCAACCTAGAAGCTAAGCCTACTCTGAACCCCCGAACCTTAAAACCCACAAAATGCTCCAACTTCATTGTGCTGATAGTAGAAGTTTCCCCAGAACCCTCTTCAAATTATCAAGGCCCCTACATGAAACCCATCCTCCTTGTGGGTCTGCCCCAGGTGGTCGTTCGAGTTGGTGCGGTCCAGGCGGGAGAAAAATGGGGACTTCTGGGACTTCTTGCGCTGTTTGGGGTTCGGCGGCTTAGGGTCGCTATTGCCATTTTGAACCCTGGCGAGCGAGGGAGAGAGAGGAGGGGGACAGACAGGGAGGGAGGGAGAGAGAGAGAGAGAGACGACGTGGCGCCGAAGCTTCATAAAGTGTTCTGATCCCAAAACCCCAAAACACAGGAGCCCCAAACCCCTCAAACCAGGCAACTCTGACACCCTCGACGCCCCTTGAAATTGGGAGTTTCCGAAGATAGAGGACCCTATTATAACACCCTGAATAGTAGGATTCCTTATTATAAGGACTCCAAAATGAGGTACCCCTGATTTTCGGACACTCCCAAATCTGAGGTCTTCCAGGTGGGGCGCTTGATCGGCTCGACCCTGGGGGTGGAGGTCCCTCGCCCGGATGTTTCAGGCATAATAGGAATATAATAGGGCCCTAATATAATCCTTATAGTCACTATTACAGGGTGGGGGCCCCTTCTAAGGTTTACAGTAGAAGCCAAAAAGTTGGAAACCCAATAGCCTCGAGCCTTAAGAGTAGTGTATAGGGAATCCCAGCACTATTTGGCCTTAATCCGGTTTCCAACTTTATGGGGTTTACTGTAGTTGGGAAAGTCCGACACCGTAGGCTATGAACACCTAAAAACTCGAAGACGCCTTATTGGGCCAGTGTGAGCGTCGAAGAAAGTATCTATATAGGGACCTCCTTTAAGGCATAAGTACATACTACATGAGGGGGCGGTTCGTTAGAGATGGCTTCATGGCAGGTCGGCTTAGGCTTCTCAGCTCGGGTACCCTTCTCGCCTCCCGTTCATTCTCAACAAATCAGCCATTTGCGATGTTTGAGATTTATGATCCGTTATGCTTGCGAGTGCTTGCTTGGAGTTCCGGATTTCAATTCCGGAATTCCGAAAGCCTGCTAGCCTCAGCCCTCAAACCTCAAGCCCTTTACCCAGGAGGCCCGCATCTATCCCCACGAGCTGCGTCTTGGCTCTTTTTGCGGTTCCTTTAATCTCCGGGCACTTTATGTCAGGTCCGTTATTTTATGTTACAGGCCCTTGGTTTCTGAAACGCTGCTAATCTGAGGTGCCTCTGGCTTCGGGCTCTTGTCGGTTTGGGGCTTTCAGGGTTTAGAGGTTTCAGGGTCGTCTGAGGGTTTCGCACATGGAGCTTTTAAGGAAGGGCTTGGATAGTCTCTGTCCGTCGTTCAAAAGGGTTATTCGGGGTTGCCAGTACTGGTTGGGTTCAGGGTCTAGATGCCCGTCTTTAATTGTTTCCTAAGGGCACCACCACCGACTTCAGGTAGAGTTTGGAGCTAACTAGACAGCAATTTTGAGACCGGGCCCCTGGGTGAAGTGCATCTGGGCCTGGGTTTGGCAGCACTGCTCTATCACACTTTTTCCATGTCAGTTGAGCCACGACACCTCCAGAAAGCTCTCACCGAGCCTAGATGGAGACGATGGCTCAGCTGAGCGATCAACGGCGAACCGACTTGAGCAATCTGCACGTCTCCTTTGCCTGACTCCAACAGTTTGCAGTGCAGCATCCAGCCTTGACGAAACCGGACACCCCCGAACAACACAATGCCCTGAGCCTTGAAGCTCTGAAAGCACTTACACGGAAGCGCCAAAGCTGACTTAGAACCTGTACACCTTACAACTTCTGCGGCCCAACATTCCGATTCGCAAACGAGAGAACCCATCATCAGCCACATTCTGGGTTCCGTTGTCGTCAACAAAGCACGGACAATAAACACTAAACCCTAAATGCCCAAGCCCTAAACCCTAAGCCCTGAACCTTAAACGCCCCAAACCCTGCGCCCTAAACCCTAAACCTTATTCCGGCCTGCCAGTGCAATGCCCTTGTGTAGCGAGACCCAAGGGGATGGCACGGCAGAGAGGGGAGAAATGAAAGTCCTAAAGCCGAACCCATGGAAAAGGGGCCTGGATAATTGCCAAAAGTAGTGTTTTGGGGGGTTCCTTAATAGAATTATGGTATAGTGATTAAGGCCCCGATTCCCCGATATTAAATCCCAAACTGCACAGCCTGAGGCAGATTCGGGTCGGAACGGAGGAGGAGTGCCACAGCTCTGCTGGCTTCCTCAAGAATTTCTCCGTCACCGTGGAGCCAATGATGCCCCGCAGCAGATCGAATCCCAAAAGGGAACTTCGTAAGTAGGGTTTAGGGTTTGCCAAAGCTTTGCAGGCTGGATGCAACAAGGGATAATTTAATGGGCATACAGCTAGAACTAGGTTTACATAGTTACATCCGTCATAGCCGCGCTTACTAAGCCCCCAACTTAGATGTATGGGTTTGAGGGTTTACGGGTTTTAGGCTTCGGAGGGGAGGCTCGAGAATAATGGGGTTGAAGGTTGGCTCTGCAACGAGCTTACATGCACGTGACGTTTGTCTGTGTGTGTACATAGGTTCTGGGTGGACCATATACATATATATATATATATATATTTATCTATATATCTGTATATACATATATACATATGCATGCATGCATGTATGCATGCATGCCTACATTCATGCATGCATACACACATAGATTCAGATAGATCCCGAAGGTCCGACCCGAAAAGGCCATAGAAAGACCCTGACACTGAAGCCTTCAATCTGCAAAAAGGACCCTGAACCCTGAGCGTTCGAAAAAAACAAACACCCAAAACCCCAGACGCCTGTAAACCCAAAAATTCTAAAACCCTTCAACGAAGGGCCAGAGCGGCATATGAACCCTGATGGTGCCCTTAAGAAGGAAGTGTCATGTAGGGGCCTTGATAATTAGACGAGGGTTTTGGTGATTTTTTATAACTATAGCATACTACACCTCAAACCCCATTCTAATTATTAAGGCCCCTCTGCTACATAAACCCACTGAAAGGAGCAGTTCCCTCTCCCGGAATTCCTGGCGCCCCGGGGATGCCTCTGAGCCCGGCTTCCGTGGTGACCAGGCCTCTCCTGTCCCTTGGGCCAAGGAAGGTTCCCAGAGACTCCGTTATCCCTTCATCAAGGAATATTCTTTAAATTATACTAGGGACCCTACAAAAAATAAGGTATACGGTATATTCCTTAATCAAGGGATATTGGAGTCCCTGAGTTCCTCTAAAGCTTTGGGGTGTAGGCTGTGGATTTTAAGGTTCCTGATCTCTAGAGCTCGAGGGTGTAGGGTTTTGGGGTTCCTAGGAAGGGCTTTGGGTGTCGGGTGTACGGTTCCTCCAAGGCTCTGGGGTTTAATTTTCCTTCTATGAGCTTAGAGTGTTGGGTGTGGGTTCAGGGTTCAGGGGTTGTATAAGGGTCATATATTCTGGCAGCCAGCAAGCCCAGTGTCAAAAAAAGGGGTTGTACAAGGGTTTCTCGGGACTGAGCTCTTGTGAGGGGGGTTAGGGTTCAGGGACTTGAGGTTCAGGTCTTAGGGTTTCTTGGGTTAGTGATGAGAAGGTCACCTTTGTGCTGCGGATTTAAAGTCTTGCAGTGCTTCCCAGCTGATCGGCAGAGTCTGGGTTCAAAAGGGTTTCTTGGGTTCAGGTATTGCTATTGGTCTTAAACCATGATGACGATGATGATGTTATGGTGACGAGAATCGTCAGGAGTATAGGTCTGAATCGCGATGATGATGATCATGATGATGGCAATGAGCATGCGCATTGCTACTTTTATCATGGGAGGAGCACAAACTGGGATACGGGGGATCTGGGCATGAATGGGAGGATGCTGTATATGGGTTAGGGGTTTGGGGCCTAGTGGCAGGGTTTGGGGCTTGGCAGGTTGGCGCTTGCGTTTCGTTTATTGTTGGGGTCTGTCCAGCTTGAGACTACAGACTGGAGTGCTAAACTGCAGAGAGCCCTCAGCACCTTGAAGCTCTGATCCGTGAGCCCCGAAATCCTTCAGAGCCCTGAAGCCGTGACATCCGGACTCCAAACTGAGGATCACGAGCAAGATGAGATGGAGGGTCACGAGGAACAGTTGAGGCTGTCCCATGCCTCCTGCGGCAAGGCCTTCCCCTAGGGATCTAAGGACTCATATTTTAAGGCTTTTGGGCCCAAAGACCATACTACATAAATAAGGCTTTTGGGCTATTGATCCCTAGGGTTCGGGTTGCGGGCCGAATGTTCGGTTCCAGCAAGGCATTTGGTGATCAAGGAAGAGCCGTTGTAAGTGGCACTTCGTGCTTGGGACGCAACCGTGAAGCCCTTGGGGGAGTATTCTGATGCAAGGCTTGCCCAGCATGATTGCCCATACCCTGCCCATACCGGACACACACGGACAGGAAGGTTTCCACAAGATGTGATAGTTGCCGAACGACCGTAGGGGGATGAAACTCCACAGCCTCGCTGCTTCATTTCCAAACCCTTAACTGTGATCTTCAGACATCCACGAAGGGCCTGGACTTTTGGGCCTGCCTGGCGCGTTGCTGCTCTGCGCACTCGGGCCACCACCTCCCAGGCCCAGGGTTCGGTGTTTGGGGTCTCAGTGTAGGGCTTTGCAGGTTTTCGCCTGTGGCGGACGAGGCTTGAAGGCGTAATTGCTCCTGGCTTTTGAAACCCCTGGTTACAAATCCACCAAAGCAATAGCAGTCGTGATTCTCCCTGCAGTTTCTGGCATGAATCTCAGTGCCCGAAACACTAGGATCTGCATGGGAAGAATTCCAACTAGTGAGAACTCGGATAAGCACGAGGGTTATGGGGCTTGAAGGGTCGAGTCCTGTTTCGCGGAGCCGCTTCCAGCCAGAGTCTTCTGAGATCTCCCAAAGTCTGGTCCGCAAGAGGACCCGAAACCTACCAACGGTTAGCTATATCATTGCCATAGTACATACGATATTGTAGTATATATCATATCATATTATACTGTTTTATACTATGTTAAGACGACTTGATCAGCTTTGTGGAACCGTGCTTAGCCCAAGCACTGTCGGACAAACCCTAGTCAGAAGAGGCTCCCAGACGAGCCTTCATCATTGGACACCAATATCTCGAAAATTTAAGAGAACCAGAACCTTTAAACCCACACCCTCAAGCCACAAGAAAGCCCCAAAGCGTAAAGCCACAACTCACCAGACCAGAAGACCCGGCCGCCAAATGCCGCCCCCCCCCCTCCCACACAACCCAAACAATGGGCGGCCTTATAGATTACACAACCCTGCAGCCGTGTATAGACAGAAACCTGGGCCCCGAGAAGTACACCCTCACCCGACAAAGCCGAAATTCGTTAACCCCCCCCTAGACACCCCGAAAATGCTTTTGAAAGCACTCTCATGGGTTCCTTCATGCAACACTGTAGAAAACCTTTTTTGAACCCTCTGGAACCCTCATCATAGAACCCAATACAGAGTTAAAGAACTTTAGCTCCCTCTTCAGAAACCCTTTAATAACTCATAAGCAGTGTGAATATTATCAATTCTCTAAACCCTATGAACCCTGTCAATCCTCTGAACCCTATGAACTCTGAACCTTCTTCATCCCTCAGCCCTTTTCCCTAATCCCCTTCAATGAGGCCCTGTGGGACCGAGCTCAGGTCTTCCAAGACCAACGCTGGCGAGCATCGGCATGTCCTCGATCGAAGCATTCGAGCCGGGTTTCTGCCAGGTGGGTTCAGGGTTTGGGGTCTGTTGGAGAGACTTTTGGGGCTTTTGCGGTTTGGGTTAAAGGGGTCGAGGAGTTTTCACAAGCATCTAGGGCGGTGTAGGGTGGTTTGATCTCGCGCCTCTGGGGCTTGCTGTAGGATTTCAGGGAATGCAGGTTGCTGCTTTGTTGCCTTTAGGGTTTGCTGAAGCTTAAAATGCGGGTGTTCGAGCTTCAGGCTTTGTTCGTTGGGGGCTTGGTGAAGAATGCTCGTAGTGCTACTGTTCCTTCGGTTTCACAAAGATGTTGAGTTTAAGGGGTGTTGCAGATACAGTCAGTATCAGTTTTTCGGAGCAAGCTCTGCAGGTTTGAGCGGTGTGAGGATTGCTGTTCAGGTTTGATGGTGCGCAACTGTGAAGAGTTGAGTCGTGACTCGAAGGCCCTGAACTCTAGCCGCTAGCCCCGAAATTCCAAGCCGTAGTGTCCGTGTTCCTCTGGATGCTACGGAGAGAGAGAGAGAGAGAGAGAGAGAGAGAGAGAGAGAGAGAGAGAGAGAGAGAGAGAGAGAGAGAGAGAGTGAGAGAGGGAGAGAGGGAGAGAGGGAGAGAGGGAGAGAGGGAGACAGAGAGAGCGAGAGAGAGCGAGAGAGAGAGAGTGTCCGTGTTCAGCCTGCAGGTGTCCTTCTGGGCACTGAAGGAAGAGGACTTCAATTCTCAGTCTTTACAGCATGTCGGTGACGGCTGGTATCACAAAGTGAGGTCTGGCCTGAACCCCAAGTAGTGGGCTCGGTGCACAGCCGTGATCAGAGCTCAGGCTTCAGCAGCTCCTTAGCAGATGCAGTGTGTCTGAGACCCCAACTCAAGTCTTGTGGAGGGTGGTCTGTAGGACGGTTCAACACAGGCGGCGAGCAGTATAACTTCAGATCCCAAATGTCGCGTCCCAAAGCTACATGGAAGCTCCGGCAAAGTTCGCTGTTGTGCACAGAGCCCGACGTCAATGTCAATGCTGATAAATGGTTCGGCAACTCCGAATATCCTGGTGCAACCTACCAGGCAGCGTAAGCGTAGAACGGCTGACGCAACCATCAGCGTAGAAGATTTCGCTGGTCAAAGTGCCAGTGCCAGAGTTTCACTCGCAGCTTCGGAGACCACGCCAACCAAGCAGTGATTTTCAATTCGAAAAAAGCCTCCATGGCTCCCCATGCCACCTGTGTTGCGGGCTTCGGGTCGAGATGTAATTAGATTTCGGGCTCCAGCTCCGGGCATGTCCGCCTGACCAAGCATTGAATAAAGCATTGCCACTGTCAGCATCCCACGGGTTTCGAAACTGAGGCTCCTTCTGGAAGGATGACTGGCAGTCTTATAACTTTTCAGGGCTGCCACGAATCTTCAACGTGCGGAAGCACACGATCTTGGAAGTTAGCCGAGTCAGCCAGATAGTCATTATTAAGCTGCCCAACAGCCGAGTAAAGTGGCCTCAATAAGTAAGTACCAATACTATTTTCGGTTGTAATTATAGTTTAATCGGCCCCCAAAACTCTGATCTGATTATTAAGGCCCTTGCAGTAGCGTGAAACTGACAGCTCTATGTTGCCGGGTGTCAATGGCAGGGCTGCTGAGGCTCATGGTGTCTCAGGGTTTTTGGATGCCGGACGTGTGGCGGAGTCAGTGCATGTCGGATCGGAGGTATGGTGGTGACGCAGATGTGGCAGTGGAAAGTGGTGCTGCCGATGGGGCTGCCACTCCCGAGGTGCATGGGGCAGGTTTCGGTGTGGGTATAGGTTTTTGCCTTGTTCACCTCTGCCCTCAACTCGGGATGACATCGCGATCGGAAACTTCTCTCGGTTGAACTAGATCTGATTGCAGTCGGCTTTGTCGATGGTATGGATGGCTGATAAACCTGGGCATCAAGCATTGTATGTTGAACTCTGGTGATTTGGGGTTAGTGTTTGTACTCCAAGTCAGCGCAGATCTCGACTGCTTCTCGTTGGCTTATAGAAGGCAAGGAAACGCTCTTTCTGTTTCCTGCCAGGACATGGACGGTGCTGCCCATGCCTCAGCTGTGCTATTCGTGCTGTCATGTCCGGTCAGCCTTGTTGCCGATACCATCTTTGCGCTGGAGACGGAACTCATATTGCCACATGTGTTCCTGTCCGCACACAGTAGGACCGTCATCCCGACACCGTGAAATCCGGAAGCCCTACACCCCAGCTCCGAAGACCTAAACCTAAGCCGTGCCTGCCTCGAGCGAGAACCTAAGACCAAACACCCTTTTTTTGACACCTTGCCAGGCTTTGTCCGAGTGTGAGTGTCAAAAAGACCAAAAACCCTCGAGAGCCTTCTAATCTAGAACCACCCCTATCCAAAGACCTTGAAACCTTCGAGTCGCCCCTGAGAAGCCAAAAGCCCAACCCAGGCGACGCCGGAGGAAGCAGACCCCAACCAGGACACGCCTTAGAACTTCGGATCTTCAAGACTTGCAGCCTCTGTTCGAGGGCTTCAGAGAGTTTTGAGGAGGAGTTTTTTCCTCAAGGATTCTCGTGGGCTTAGAAAAAGGGATCCTATAGGGCTTTACAGCTCTGTTAACATAGAACAAAGTTCAAACAGCTTAGAGGTTACGAGAGTTTGCGGAACGGGTTCTTGCGACGACGATCGTAGAATAGGGGTACCGTATCTAATTACTCTAGAGGGGATTACAATAAGGTTCCGGCTTCTAGGGCTCTGACTGAATGTCCCTTAGCTTTCTGAAACTCACATATTGGCACCGAGACGCCCCCATCCTAAAATCCGGTGGGATCGGACATTAGCTGCAGAACCCTAGATAAGAGGATCCCTAAGGCAAGGACCTCGTCCGGCTGTGCCCAAGTCGCGAGAGCGTAAAGCAGGGCCCCAAAAATGGATGACGGCTATGTGCTTTGCTAGATATGGTACGTTTCTATGTGGGATATGTCGGTTTCTGTGCACAGCTCTGATCATTCAAAGCAATGTCCCAACCCCCTAGACCCCAAACCAAATAGTTAATCCTTCCAGCCTACAGCCGTATACTCCACAGATCTATGAACCCTTTAAGCCTAGCCCGCAACCCCACATCCCCAGGCCTTTGCGGCAAAGCCAGTATGCCAATGGCCGCATAACCAACCCTGAAGCCTAGACCTTTCTGGAAGTTACCACAGTAACGTAAGTAACAACACGAATATAAGAGCCACAATACTGATAATAGAAATGATAACAATTGCAAGGCTAACATCAATCGTAAGAGTAAGAAGTATAAGAAGCATATCATCATAAACATACTGCGAATAGTACTGACTCAATAGTAGTACTGAACTAATTTTTCGTTCGCAACTACTAGCGACAATAATGTGGATACTGATTCATTGCAGGTCACCGATGATGAAGCAGCTCCAGCAGCGCCGCAGCCTCTAGGGTGTTGGGTTTTGTGGGTGCTGGGATTTCAAGGTTGGGGTTTGAGGGTTGTAGTGTTTTGGGGCTTCGTTTAGGGTGCCGGGGTCCAGGATACAAGGTGGTGCAGTGGGGTGTCGGTGTCGCTATCGGGTTGCGGTACTCAGCCCAAGTTGAAGAGAAGCTCTGCCTTTGCTTTTATGTATTCGACCCCAAACCCGAAGCTCCAAAAGACGCGAGGGCTGCTGCCGGATCGAGTAAGGCGGGACGCAGAATCTCGTACGTTCTACACTCAAAACACATCTGGTCTCCAAGTTGAGGTCTATAAAACTGAAAGTGTACACTTTTCGGGGCTTATGAACTCAGCAAGTAAGAGCAAAGGTCTGGGTCAGCAGAAGCAGAGGATGGAGACGACAAGCCCAACGACCAGGACTTAGCCGTGGCATGATTAGGTTAGGGCAGGGCTCGTCATGTGCGTGACAAATCGGATGTGCTTAGGGGTTCGGTGACTCGAGAGTTGCATTCTTGAGATTTTGGGTATGGGCTTTCGGGCTTGAGATTGCAGGCTGGAGTATCAACGGAGCATGCGTCGCTGAACCCCGAACTCCACGGCCAGGAGCGGAAGAAGGAGAAGAACGACAGGAGCAAGTAAGCGCGGCGAGAGCCAAAAACAGAAAGCAAGCGTCCAGCTTTGCAGGGAACCTGAACTGCCTTCCTCATTATCGAAGTTCAGGGTCTTGTTTCTGGTATGTGGAGCTGAGTCTTATTCAGGTGACGGGGCCACGGCTTGGGAATGCTTAGGGCCCTCAGCGTTGGTTCAAGGTCGTGTTCTTGAAGGCACATGGCTGCGGGGAGACCCCGGACAACAGCTCAATCCAAACTCTAGCCCTCTCCCCCCTCGAATTTTGAATGTCAGTGTATACAGAAGTTCCGGGATGTCAGGGTCCAGGTGCCCATGTTTTGTTTTCTTCTTCAAAGCAGACCAAGAGCCTCATGCCCTTGACGGCTGGAATGTTATCCATGCGCTACTTGAGTTTAGGGTGCATGGTTTAGCCCCCGGGCGACGAAGCAAGCCCGCTGCAAAAAGGGAAGAAATGCCGGCCCCAGCCCCTGAGTCAAAAAAGGGATTAGGGGTTTGGGGTTTAGGGTTTGGGAGTTGATTCAGTATGGAAGTTTCCAAAAACAGGGGACCCCAATATAGCACCCTACATAGTAGGATCCTTGTTCTAGGGACCCCCAAAATCAGGTACTCCTAATTTTCGGAAACGCTCAAGTCTTCAGCCTTGGACTAGGCCCAAGAACCTCCGCAGGCTGAGTTGGTCTTGGAGAAGGCTACCCAGTCCCAGGCCCGGGTCGTGAGGTAATGCTGTTGGGGGGGACTTGATGGTTTAGGGGTTTTAGGGTTTGTAGGGAGACTTCAAGAGGCCTGGATGCAAAAATAGGGATTAGGGTTTAGGGTTCTAGGGTTCTGGGTTCAAAAGGGTTTTAGTGCATTGCAGTCCCTGCTTAATAAGGGTTTTTGACGTTTGGGGGTAGCTGTAGAGCCCTGCTTCAAAAAAGAGCTTAGGGGAGACCTGGGTCAAAAAGAGTTCAGGGGATAGGGTCTAGTATTGAACAACAGAGGAACGTGGACCAAAAGAGGAAGATGTGGGCTAGTACATGAGCACCGCGGGGTTAGTGGACGCAACACGTTTGGTTGTTTTAGTTTCTTTTGAGTGGTCTGCCAGGCTTCAAGAGTGAGATTAGGTTGGATGGGAGGGTTTGCGTTCGGGAGCGCAGGGTGTAGCCCGTAGCCTTTGAGTTTAAAGTTTTAGAGCGAACGGATGCAGGTTTGAGGGTTCCGAGTTCTTGCCGCCCGCTGCTATCTGCACTTTCGGTCCTAACCCTAACTTTAGGGTTATGGTAACCGCTTGTGGTTTCAGGCCGGGTTTGTGGCTTCTGCAAGCCTGCCTGTGTTTTTATGACCTTCAGGAAACGAGTCTCCTTTCCAATACAGAGGTCTAGAAAATTACTCGTCGTATTTTGGGGGTTCCTTATTATAGTGATCGGCGATCGGGGTTAATGGTTTACGAAAGGAGCCGCGCCAGGCGATAAACCTCAAGGAAGACACACCCACACACACACACACATGTAATTCTAAACGGACCCCATCAGACTAAGATATAGTATGCTGTAGGGGCTTCTGTAATTACCTATACGTTTTTGGAGGATCCTTATTATAGTTATAGTCCAATATACCCCAAAACCCTACTCTAATCATTAAGGCCCCTATAGTACATACCTTTTTGGAGGTTCCTTATTATATTTATAGTATAAGATACCCCAAAGCCCTATTCTAATCATAGAGCTCCAGGAGTATCAGCAGCAATCCCGCGCCGCAGCGCCCAGCGAGCGATCGCTGGAGGTCCGGTGCTTGGAACCTCGACCCTCCTCTTTCCTTGAAGACTGCTTGAGCTTGAGTTTGATGTTGTCCCTTGCGCGGGAAGATTGGTAGTATCGTCATGATTCTTGAAACTACTTCTGCTGCTACTACTACTCCTACTCCTACTGCTACTGCTACGGCTACTGCTACTGCTTCTGCTACCGCTACTGCTACTGCTACTGCTACTGCTGCTGCTGCTGCTACTGCTGCTGCTGCTGCTACTACTGCTACTGCTACTACTACTGCTGCTGCTGCTGCTACTACTACTACTACTACTAAGTGTAATTCGTACCTTGACTTTGCATGTCTTCGAGCTGCTGTGTGCATATATGCATGCATGTGAATTGGGGACAAAGCTGTTTGAACTGGTAGAAGTCTGACACTTGCCATAGACTGCTGTAGCGGTAGTCGTACTTGTACAAATCTTGCTGGACTGTGGCTACCCCTTTGTAGCCTGCTCAACGAAGTGGTGTAAAAGAAACCTTTGTGAAGTAGTTGCAATTGAGTTCCAGATCGATGGGAGCAGCTGTAGTGAGTGGCCTTACCTTCTGTTGCTTTGTTTCCAGGGTTGCTCCGGTCGTGACTTGTAGCCGTCTAGTCCCCGCGGAGCTGCCACAGGTGTGCCAGGTGGGTGACAAAAACTACTCCTACAAAAACTACTACTACTACAAAAACTACTACTACTACTACTACTACTACTACTACTACTACTACTACGACTACTACGACGACGACGACGACTACTACTACTACTACTACTACGACTACTACTACTACTACTACTACTACAAAAACTACTACTACTACAAAAACTACTACTACTACTACTACTACTACTACTACTACTACTACTACTACTACTACTACTACTACTACTACTACTACTACTAAAACTACTACTACTACTACTACTACTACTAGTACTACTACTACTACTACTACTACTACTACTACTACTACTACTACTACTACTACTACTACTACTACTACTACTACTACTCCTGGTGACAAAACTACTACTCCTACTCCTACTCCTACTCCTCCTCCTCCTACTACTACTACTGCTACTACTGCTACTGCTACTACTACTACTACTACTGCTACTACTACTGCTACTACTACTACTACTGCTGCGTCATTGTTGTTAATATTGTTACCACATGGTTTAATTCTAGTGTTACTTTTAAACTACTACTGTACTGTTGCTGCTTATTACTATCGTTATGTTGTTGTGGCTCAAATTTGGTACTACCGTTAGCATTAGTTAGTATTACTATTGTTATTTTAAGTGCTTGTAATTTTTGATCTTACAACGTATGACTACTATTAATGTCATGATTACTTGTACTTTGGTTGTTAAACTTATCACGATTATTTCTATCATCGTGGTTATGATTATACCAAGTGTTGCTATGTCACTCATGAGTGTTGTTGCTAGTACCTTTGTCTACCTTTGTCATTATGGAGAACAAGGGCTCGGATCTTGAGCCTGGCTTGACGAGCTGGTACTTGGGATCTGAGGCTGTTGAATTGGAAGCCCACTCGAACTCCCAAGACAGACACCCTGAAGGATGAGGTTTAGGGTCTACGGCTGAGATGTAGTGAGATAGGCTCGGAACTCTAAACTCTGCGCCTCAGGTGCAGCAGCAGCAGGTTTGGCGAAGCCGGCACGATTCGCGACTGCCCCAAGAACGCCGCCGTACCACAATCCCAACAGCATCATCGCCACCATCACCGCAAAATCTTTGCTCAGTTTCTTGAAGGCATAGCTTCAGCAGAACTCTTGAGCCCAAAGCCCTGAGCTCCGGACTCTAGAAGTTATTCAGTTACAGAAGATGCCCCAATCCCATCCCTGAGATTCCATCCCCGTCTCATGCAAGATCCTCCCTTCACAGGGTGGGAGAGTTCAAAACGCCAGCGATGGTGATCCGTTATCGACACGATCTTCCGCCAGATGCGTCCAACTATCCATGTGCTGACATGAGTCCTGTCTCACATAATCGAAGCAATCTTCGTGCACCGGCAACCGCAGTCCAGAACCCTCAACCCCCAAACCTAAAGCCTTGAGATCTTGCAGATGGCCAGGATGCAGCAGCTGTCCAACGAGCTCTTCAATGAAGCTGCTTCCATTGGAGACCAGATCCTGGCAACTTGCCCTGTCTACTCCTTTTCTAGGTTTTTACGGAAGACATGCCCGACGTACCAGCTTCATACATCACATACCCGCCTGCTATAAGTGTGCCAGGTGAGTGACAACTCACGATCGTTCGATCATCCTACACATTTAGGTTTTGCGCTTCGTGTCCTTCCATGCCTTGAACCCTAGTTTCAGGCTTTCCAAATTTCCAAGTCCTCGTTCCCAGGCGCAGGCAGAGTCGGCAGTAGGCACGGCCAAGAGCGCTGTGGCCAAGGCGCGCTCAGAAACGCTGCTGTGGGCTTGAGGGTTCGGGTTAGAGTTGGTGTCTTGGGGACTTGAGGCTTCGGGGCTTTGGGGCATAAAGGGCTTCGTTAGGGCTTCAGGGTTTGTTGTTTGCTGAGGCAGCAGCAGCCATTGCCGACTTCCGAGTCGTGGGGCTTGCTTACACCTCTCAGTTTCCCTTGTTGGGCTAGCGCTTTCGGTCGGAGGCAGGTGTAACATGTGCGAAAACAGGGCACAATTAGAGTAGTAGCACTAGAAGCACTAGTAGGACCAGCAGCAGTAGTATGACTTGGTGGTAGTAGTATCCTGCAGCAGTCTTAACCAACGAGCTCAAAGAGTTGAAAGATACAAAATCTGCACCCTGACACTCTTATTACAGTCTGAACAACGAGCTTCAAAACTTCAAAAGGCAATTCTCCGCTCCGCGTGAAGTTCACGACCTTAGAGCACAGGTTGTGGCGGCCTGTGAGCCTCTCCAGGCCTTGGCCAGGCAAAGGGAGGAGGCGCCGAGATTTGGGGGTTCCTTAGTACATGTATAGTACCACGGGCCCCAAGTCTAATGATTAAGGCATCTTCATATTCATGAACAGCTGTTGGTGTTGCTGATTGTGAAGCACTTTCTTGTAGGATGTTTGGACCAGGCAGGCAGCTAGTTAAGTTGGAACAGTTGGGAGCGGGCCCAATTGCGAAAGCAGGTCTTAACTGCCAAAGGGTTAGCAGCGTGACTTACAGTATCCTGTTGAGATGTTGAGGGCTGTAGAAACTCGAGTGCTGACAAAGGTTTAGAACCAACAGCATGGGTGCGACGATGCCACATTGCCTGAATTGAAGAAGATGGTCTCATCCTGTAAGACGCAAAAAGAATTCAGAGCTGCCGCGAATGGACTTTGCGCAGATCTTCGTCGGATGCTCCCAGTGCTGAGTCTCAGGAAGCTACCTAGCAGCTCTTTAAGGACTGAAGATTTTTTTCCGCGTGACCAGATCCCAGCACCCGAAATGTAGATCAGCAAGATTCCTCTGGCCGAAACTCTAAACTCTAAACCTGTACCGACCCTGTGCAAGTCCTGGCCTAGGCCATGCGGGTGAGCAAGGCGCAGCAACTGGCACAGCAGGCAGTCTTCCGGGGGTTGAGGGTATATACAGGATAGTTCACAGATACAGATACAGATGCAAATGCTTTTCCCATCTTTTCCCAATGCAACAACATAGACACGCACATAGGCAGTCATACATATACTCATGCACAAACATGTGCAGACATGGTATGTATCAGTGAAGTACATGTGTATATATGCAGGTACGCGCGTAGGTCGATAGGTTGGTAGGTAGCTTGTTAGTAAGGGGCTAGGTTTGTGTGTGTATGTGTGTTTGTATGTATGTATATATGTATGTATGTGTGTGATGTGATGTACTGATATGTAGTGTATGGTATGTATGCATGCTTGTTTATGGCTGTGTATATGTATGTGCTACTGTATATGTACACGTACAAGCATGTGCATATGTTTATGTGTATGTACGTAATGCAATGAAACGTAATGTCGTCGTTAGGTGTATGTATGTATGTACGTCTGTATGCATTTATATGAAAGTATTCACTTTTTGCATGTATCCAGGTTTGCAAATGCATGTAGGCATGTAGTAAGCATGCGAGCATGTTGGTATGCATGATGTATGAAGAAGCGTAGGCATGTACACATGCATGAATGTATGTATGTATATGGGTGCAGGCATGGAATTGTGCATGTATGTAAGTAAGTGCGTGTGGTGCATGTGTCGCATGTATGTGTCACGTACTACACGCACGTATTCGTGTCTGTATGTATGTACGTATGCATGTATGTTGGTATGAGTAAGTACGCAGGTATGTATGTATGCATGCAAGTACGTATAGTATGCATGTCTGCATGTATGTGCATACGCCCTGTTGGTTTTTGCTTGTCTCTGTGTAAGTACATATGCATGACTGCGTGCATGTATGTATGTATGCATGTATTATGTGCATGTATGCCTGCAGGTGTGCATGGATGCATGTATGCAGGGAGGTAGGCTCGTATTTTCGCTGCTGATGGAGGGGTACTGCAGGCCGTGTTGGTCTCGACAATGAGATTCGAGCGGATCTGTTGTAGCATGGGCTGACTTCATACCCTCCACGTGACACCAAGTTTTCGATCAGCTCGTTGGCAGCACCAGGCAGACCAGCGTTGCAGCGCCAACTTGCCAGCCTGAGCCTCAGGGTACTTAGATGAGCGTCTTTCTTAAGGGGGCCGTTTTGCTCAGGTTGGTGCCTGGATTAACGGTAATCATTATAGTGGAGCCCAGAAAGTTGGAACATGGATTGAGGATGATTAGTGCTGGGATCCCCTGTGCTTTACCTTTCTGGCATGAGGATAATGATGTTCAAGCTTTCTGGCATCTACTCTACTCTTACAGAGGGCATCTCCACCACAATCTCTCATAGAAGAAAAACGCCCCGGCTCTTGTTGTCGAGCTGCTCTTGAAAAGGCCCCCGCAAGTTCCTCAAAGGCTGCAGACACTTCATCCTTAACCTGAGGCCCTAGACAGTATAAACTAATGGTATCTAACGGACAGAGGGGAGCGACGTGTGGTTTGGTCGTGAATCCCTTTTTGTCCCTCTTTGCCCATAACACAGCCTCTGCATGATTGGCATTCCGACGAAAGGGAGACTGGCAGATGGAAATGGCTCTCAAAACGAAGACGTATCAACTTCAATCCTAAATCTGCAAGCTATAGAATTTTACACAGGTCTCGGTTTGCTCAAGTAAAAAAACTGGATGTTCAACATGGGCCGCTCTTGCATTGCACCCGGGTCACCCGACAGCGTAGACCGGAAACCCCGATGAAACTTTCAGCACCCTCCATGGAACTTATAGACCCTGGCAGAACCTTGTAGCTTCTTTTGGCACCTTAATGGACTTTGCAAACCTTCATGAAGCTCTAGAGACTTGATAGATCCCCTGCAAGGTCGTAAGGGCTTTGCTCTAGGGTTTAGGATGGGTTTTTGGTTTCGGGTTTGGGGTTTCGGGCTCGTCTTCCTGTCTTAGGCCGTGGAGCGCTGCAGGGAGCGTCTGCAGGCGCAAGCCTTGTGACCTAGTGCTCTGAGCATGACGGCTCTTTGCATACGGCGTCATACGGTTGATGATATAAATCCCGCATTATCTTAAGAACCCTGAACTATGGGAATGAATTATGCTATTTCCGCCTTTTGGGTAATGCAGGATTTATAGCATCAGCCGTAGTGCGCGCAAGCCCTAAAGCCCCCAAGGCTGGCATGGCTTCAGGCAATAAGTCTCGAAAGCCCCGGAGTTAAGCAACAAATAGAAGCCTAAAGCCTATACAACCCGGAGTCCAGACTGCGAGCCTGAAAGCCGCCAAGAACTACTGACTACTGTGGTTCTTATTTTAAGTATAGTTTCATGGGCCCCAAACCCTATTCTAATTATTACGGCGCCTAAGACCCAAATCCCAGAAGCCGCCGAACCCTGGACCTTACCGCAGCTTCCCGCATCGTGTGAAGGCCGCTCGTGACGACCGCGATCGCGCGGCACCGGCCTTGAAAGCAAATGTAGCTAGAGGTTCAGGGTCTCGGCTGTAGGTTTCAAGCAAAAGGGATCAGGTTCGTATACGCATGGAAACGAGGGACATACTCACACCCATGCGCACACACGCGCAGACGTATGCACAGATACGCAAACTGGTTCGTTGGCTGATGTCCCCGTACGCAAGCTGGAAGGCACTGTGTTTGGCCGTAGCTGCTTTGTCGATGTCACTTCCGTCCAGCGGGCTTGTTTGACATCCGTACAGAAATCCAGCACCAAAAGAGCAACAATCATCCCGATCATCGTCGCCAGCAGCATCAGCAAGACTACGGTCATCGTGCCCCTCAGCCCTGATATAGGTGCTGTGTGAATGATGAGGAAAAGTATCCGCTTGCAGTCCCTTACAAGCGATGCTATAATAGTCTAGATCTGTATGCCGTCGTGAGCATTTCGGCGGCGCCTGCAGCAGCAATGGAGGCGCCAGGGCAGAGGGAGAGGGTGGGTCGGGGTGTCGATGGGGGCTTTAGAAGGTAAGATACTTCGAGCGTGGGGCTCTGCATCTTTGCACTAAGCCCTAAACCCTGAACCCTAAACCCTGAAACCTATCATTGACTGCCCCTTAGACCGTTTCACATAGTCAGACTCCGAACCATATGCCTCGCCTGGACTGTCCGAGTGCGAGCGCCGAAACCCTGAACCCTAAACTTTAAGTCAAGAGCAGAAGGGCCTTTCATGGGACGCCATGTTTAGAACCCCCCTAGAAGCTTGGCCTAATCCACGCACACTTCCCACAAACCATAGCAAAGCTGAAGTAGAACAGATGTAGGGGCCTCAATAATTGGAATCGGGTTTGAGGATATATTTTGTACTATACGTATGAAAAGGAGCCCCAAAACCCTATTCTAGTTATCAGCCTCAAACCATAAATTTCCAGCCGAGACTGAACCCTAGGCTGACTTCCAACATCCCTCGACAACCCGACACAGATGCCTAAAATGCTTAGTAAGGCAGTCCCCATTTTTTCGTTATAGACCCTTCGGAAATGTACCCCAAAACCCTAGTCTACACGAACAACTTCGTCAACTGAGCCATGCAGGAGGCAAAAAAAGAACAACTACATTAGACCCCCTATCGTGCGGAACCCCTGGGCTTCAGGATGTCTCCACGCTCATTCAAGAGGCCGCGTCTGATCCGAGTTGACTTCGTTCCTGTCTAGCAGAGGGGTTTTGTTTAGGAGTCTTTGTACATGTCCTTACAAGGTTATTGCTGGAAGGGATGGTACTGTATGTATTGGCTTCATGTGGGCGCCTGAATGATTGCCCTACTTTTCCGTAGGAGTTCCGTTTTTGTGTTCATACCAGAGTATATCCTAAAACCCTTTTCTTGTCATTGCCATTCCTACTGCTCTCGACGTTGTGACATTGTTACAATCACGGGTACCGTCAGGGCTATTATTCCTTTTCATACTAATACTAGCAGTATTTCTACTACTGGTAGTATTATCACTATTGTTACTCTTATTGCTATCATTCCTATTTTTTAGTAATATTACTGTACTGCTATTGCTGTTTATTGCTGTCTGTCATGCTTATTGCTATTGGCATTGCTAAAGTTGCTGTTATGGTTATCAGCATCACGACTGTTACCACTACCATTGTTACCGCCCGTTTTGTACCACTGTTAAGATAATAAGGGTTCCTAGGCTGCTCTGCTTGGTACTGCTGCTCAAACCAGGATGATAGTTGATGGTCGTTTTTTTCGATTGAAGCTGTCTCCCTGACCCCAGCCCATAACCCCATCCCTCCCCGCCCACCCAAGGGTCCTTCGGAGCCGGGCCTTGTTCGAGATAGCCATCTGAACGGAGACGACCTTTACAGACTACAGAACAGTTTGTCGGGTGGAAACCAACGAATCATCCAATGCCTCAAGCCCCTCCGAAACCGTGAGTCGATAAGCTAAACCCCAAGAAATTCCGACCGGGCACCATGAACCTCATCTGCAAGTCCGAGTGTGAGGGCGCAAGCCGAGGTTTGCGCTCTAAACAAACTTGAGAACACGGATGACCATTGTGTAGGCCATTCCCTCTGCGGATGCCGCAGATGCACCGGCCGAGCCAACGGCAGGGATCTCAGAAGGCGAGTTTCGACTTGAGTCGATTGTTCAGAGCTTCGTCGTTTTTGGTTATGGGGTTTAATCGTAAGCATGAGCCTCAGGATGTCTCAGGCCGCGGCTGAAGAAGCCAATCAATGAGCTGAAGCGTCCGCGGCCGGGTTTAAAATCCCAACACTTCCGGTGGGGTTTGGAGTTGAGTGATCTTGCATGGCATAGCAGCATCAAAACTTGCCTGTGTGCATCAATCACTTGAAAACAGGACTAAACGCCTCGCCTTGTAGTTTCTGTAATTGGAGCACGTCTCCCGAGGTCCTCGAAGTAGTTGCTTGTTCGTCTGCACGGACAAGCACGCACAGGTTTAATTGTTGTGTGTTTCTTCCTGACTCGCTCCTCTTCTTGTCGTAACACTGACGGCCTGATGTACAGATACACACATGTATGGCTACTGCTGTAAGTCTTGGAAAGCCTGCTGGCATCCATTGGCTTTTAGGTGTAACGAATTCTAGGTGACCAGGTGTTCTGGCTGGCTTCATGATGCGTTGTAGGTTGCGCCAACCAGTCTAGCCTCAATATGTAGTGCAAGCAGTAGTGCTTCACAGCCCTGATAAGCACAGAGACAGCTATACTAGAACGCATCCCAAACCCGGTTCTGTCTATCACTGCCCTATGACTTAACTGCCGAGGCTCCTGCGCAGATCCGGGTCATCCTCCAGCGGATGTGCCTGGTCTGCTCAGATTGCGTGGGTCTTATTTTTTTAGATTATCCAGGGCTACCTTCAGGGCTTCAGGTGGCTTTACACAGGTTCGTTTATAGGCCCATTTCAGCCCAGGCCCGTCCTGTAAGGATCCTCTTCTCCTTTTCTTGAGTGTCTGCGTTCGCACGCGCTCACTCCTCGCTTTCTATCGCTCGCAAGAGGCTCAAAGTACAGAACCGAATTGTAGGGTTTGGGAGTCACTCCCCATTTCCGTTCGCCTGAGCCGTAGGGGTCCCACACCTTCAGAAGCTTGCGCTCTTACTGAGACATTGGTCTTCTTACTTGGTTTAGTTTGCCAGTGTTCAAAGTTTAAGTCAGTTTAAGTGATCAGCAGCAACAGTAGTAGATGTTGTCGAACCTGTCGAAGTGGAAGGAGTATGAGCAGTACAAGCAGGCAGTTGCACTCAGGTTCTATAGGAGTGACATTCACATGTCGGTCACATGTTCAAGCCAGCACGCATTGTGGCCAGTCAAAATTCGTAGCTCCAAGGCAAAGGCCTGAAATGCAGGGTCAGCGACAAGGTACTCCCATCTTCAATGTTGTGTAGGCCATGAACCTTCCTTTCTGAAACATTAGCTTGAACTACACACCCTCCATCTCGCCGCAGAAGAAACTTCTTCACTTCCGCAAAGTCAGGAGTGGAGAGGAGTCAGAGGTTCATCTCCCAAAGGCAGCTTGGGCCGAGCATGAGTGGTATGTGAGGTTGGGTTTATCTACCTACCTGCCTGTAGGTCTGCCTACCTAGATTCGATACCAACCAAAGTATCCGCCGACCTATGTGCTGGCATGGTTACAATTTCGATGATGATCATTGTGGTGCCGGTGATGAGTAATGGTGCCGATGACGACAATGAGCAATGGTGAACTGCAACATACTCTCCACAGGCATCCACGTCATCATCACCGTCATCATCATTCTTGTTTTTTCGTAGTCGGTGCAAAGGAAGCTTGAGGCTTATAGACCTGCTTCGCCCAAATGAAAGGTTTTTAATCTCCTCCTACAGTAAGCTAGAGGCCTAAGCTCAAAAGCCTTGGATCGGAGAACCATTATCCCTGTCACCGGAAACCTCGCCTGAGAAGATTTCTCGCGCTGCCTCTGCAGACCTTGCCTGGCTTTGTCCGGGAGTGAGCGTCAAAAATCCCGTGTTGTCAAACCCGAAGCTTCGAACCAACACCCGCGAACCCAGCCGAGGATGCGACGCTGCAAGACCTGCGGAAGGAAGTCGAGAAGTCAAGCACCGTGGGCCAGCTCTTTCCTTAGCTTGCGGCGCTTGAGGCTTTAAGCTTTAGGGGTTACTTGGAGGTTCAGGGGTAGTCATAGGTGGGATTATAAGTCCCTTAATATGGGTTGTTACCCTACTTATAGCCCTAGTTATAACCACCCCTGAACCTCCAAGTAGGAGTAGGTAGGAGTTTTGAGTGACATGATAGGGATGATATAGGACTCCCCCCCTAAATGAACAAGCTTTCGGAGTTTCGGGGTCTGGGTCTAACCAAGGCTTCTTATTTGAGTGTTGTCGGGTGATGCTGCAGATTTCTCAGACCTGTGCCAACTCCAACATAGGTGCCTTAATATTATTGTGGAGGTCCCTTATTAGAGTTACAGTTTAGCATGCCCAACATCCTATTCTAATTTGTTCACAAAGTCGCAGGTCAATCCTTGTGAAGGCGCCTACCGCATAGTGGAAACCCGAAAGCCCCAGAGCCCTATACATAAACCCTCAAGCTTTGTACCTTAAAGGCTAACACGGAAAGTCCCACAAAGTCTAAGACACTAAACCTCGAACTCTGAATCCTAAACCAACAAGTCCGAAGCCCCAAGTGCTTCTAGTTTCAACTCGGAACCTCCGAGACGAGGGGCCCTTACAGTTGGGTTTAGCGAGGCATTAGGGTGCAACAGGCTTGGTTATAAATGAAGAGCCTTGATTATTGGCAAAATGCTGCTGCCTCAAAACGGGTTCTAACAAGGAGTCTAGTGTTCAGGCAGTTTAAAGGAAAGGGGTGGGTTTATTCAGCATTGGCCTTGCATTAATAGATCGTGAGGCTCCCGAAACACAAACATCGAAGCCCTCGTGAGATTCGGTAACTAAACCTTCAGTCTCCAGGTGTGCTTTCCGCCTTCTTTTCAATGGTGAGCCCCTGGGCTGGACAGCCAGCGCCACAGTGACACTGGTGCAGCTGGGCATCGTGGACGGCAGCGTGGTGATCCTCATGATGGAGAGGGCTGTCGCATGCAGGTTCGAGGTTTAGGTAATATGCCACTAGGGGGGCATGCACAAGTCTGTGCAGAGGTGAAATACAACGAGTCCTGCTGCCTTAAAAGGTGAAGAGCCGGGCTTGGGAAGTTGCGCCTAGGGGCCTAGAGCTTGGGGGTGCGTGAGCCTGGGTTGAGGGTGCAGCCAAACAGAAAGGAAAGTTGTTTCTTGTTAAGGCGCCCTGATACGAAGGATTCCATCATTGCGGGCTTGTTTAGAGTCAGCTATTGCGCGCAGCTGCTATATGCTACCAGCATCTAGACTCATTTTCTTCGCTAAAGTCCCCCCCCCAAACATAGGGTGGAACGCTATATTACCGCTATATGCTCCGCGTGAATTCCGGACTCGTGGCGTATGAACTATGGAAGTATCAAGCAACTGCAACAAGTTACAAGTATGCATGAGATGCGAAACACATGCAAATAGGCATAGACATACAGATCTACGCTGGCATCCGCACGCTCGCTACCTTCCTTTTTATCTTTGCTGCCTTCCTTGCCCACGTGCGCACCTACCCCTACCTACCTCCAGCGACGTACCGATCCACCTTGAGCATGCCAGTGCATATCAGTTCTTATACGCGCAGAGGGCACCGAACGTAGCCCGAGGAGCCTTCGAGGAACTACGCACGGATTGAGAAGCCGGAGTACGTCTTGACAAGCGACCAGTGCCTTGACTACAGACACCTGCAGCTGCATACACCAGAAACTCCAACGTTGGGCATGCTGCGGTCCACACATTTTGAGTGACTTCGTCATGGCCCCCACGGCTCTGAAGTCGTTAAGTTACGTTTTCCAGCCGCAGCGATACTTTCCTCATCCGCTGTAGTTCGTTCGTTTTTCTTGCGCTGAGTCTTCTTTAAGTGCTGCGGGTGTAGACCTAGCTAGCCTAAACTGGGCCTGAACTGACAGTGCGATGCACTTGGACGGTCAGGGTGTGCTTCCTATGCCTTAATCCTCTGAAATCTGAAACCGCCACGCAAGAATCCTCAAGCCCCATTGGCCCTAAAGCTCAACAGCCTTCAATCCTGAAATTTTGGAGCGGAGCTGCACTTAAATCTGAGTCCTGAGGCCCTTTCCTTACCTTTGGTTAGTAAGTAGGGAATGGAGGAATGGGGTACAATTATAGAAACTATTACTACCATTCTTCCATTCCCTACTAACCAAAGGTAAGTTTCGTCCCAAATCGTGGAAGCCGAAGCAGAAAGCTTCAAGACATTGGAAGTCAGCTCTTTTCAGGTATCCGAACGGCTTGGCGTTCGACCCTCGCGGAAGGCCAGCAGCGTTGGCGTCCTACGGAGCTTGCTGTTATGATGATGGCTTAGGGTTTAGAGTTTATGGCCCTGAGCCCAAACTCCCGACCATGCCATGAACCCCGAAGACGGGAACTCTGCATTCGGTGCACGATTCGTTAGGGAATGAGATTGCCATTACAGCCGAACTCCATGGGTGGGGAGGCTCCGACTTGCCCAGGAGAACCAAACTTCCAAGGTATTTGGACGATGGATGGAAAGTCAACGAAGAGCCGTAAACCCCAAGCTACAGAATCCTAAGCCCTAAACCGTAAGGATCCTAGAAGCGCAGATGCGCTAAACCGTAGGCCGCGGGCCCCCGGTGAGGCTTGCGGTGGCGCACTTTTTCGGCTCGCTTGAGGCGCCTAGATTGGTAACTGTTACTTATAGTTCTCCAATACCCAACCTTTAAACTTCTTGGCTTTATATATTTTAGTAGTAATCTAAAAGTTTAGCCTTTTATTTCCCTGGCGTATTGGGGAAGTAAGGTTATAAAGTGCAACACGGGGTCAGAATAATGAGAAAATAAACACATTGTCCATACTGGAATAATTGCATCCATCGACCACCTGTAACACGTGGTTCGGAATTAAGATGTTAAGCGAGTGTGCGGGCTTCGGGATGGCGATGTGTGGTTTCAGGTTCCGGGATGCGTATCAGTGTGCTGCGTGGTTCTTTAATTTACGGGCTTTGAGGAGGGTTGCGCTCTTTTCAGCTTGGGGTGTTGGATCTGGAGAGATGCCTTCGGTGAGACCCCTTCGCCTACATCCTCCACCATAACCAAGTAAATGTCATTCATTCCCTATATCCCTCATTAGCATGCCAATCCCGCAAGCCTGAAGCCCTGTATACAACGGTGTGGAACTCTTGCCCTATGAGATGGACGGCACAAGGGGACCAACGCGGCAAAGCTGCGAAAGCCCCGTCCTTGGGAGACCCTCGCATCCTTTGCCCCGAAGACGATGCCGTCTTCTGAATTATGAGAAGTACCGTGGAGTGATGGCTACCGCCGAGACGTGAATAGGGAGGCTTCGTGGCCTCAGCGCTTTAAGGTTGAAGGAGCCATCGTAGAAGTTTCGCAAAGCGACTAACCGCTGCAATGAACGAAATAGGTATTATTTTTTCAGTATTTGCCTGGAACGTGAGCCCTTCCTCGTTTTCGCAGGTTTGGGATACCGACTTCGCCACCAAGCTTTACCAGGACCTGATACATCTTTGTATGTAGGGCCTGCCAGTTTGTGCGAGCTTGAGAGTACGCTGCCCCGAACTCTTGCTTCCTCTGCCTTTGCAGCTTCCTGTTTGCCTGCTACTTCAATGAAGAAAAAGGACCAGGAAGATGTAGCCAATCCAGCTTGTTGCAAAGTCGGCTTGAATCTCAAGTCTGTTTCCGAACGCCCGAAGCCCGGACCTTCTCTCCCATGAGAAGTCTTAAGGCTTGCGGCATTCAAGCCGAAACCACCACCGCCCTAATGAACATGAGCCCTGAGGGCATCAGCCCGCTAACACATCTGCAGCGGTGCAGGGCCAGATGGGGGGCAGACAGCCCAGCCAGATCTGCTTCGGCCCAGGCCGCTTTGTTGCGTTTGTGCCTGGAATCCAGATGCTCTCTCCAACGGAGGGCACGAAGACTTTGTTGAAGATGGCACTCTGTGCACCTAAGCTCAGGGTAGTTGGATTGCGCTTATCCTTGGTGCCTGCTTCGGGATCCGTCCAAGAAAGCCTGCACTTGGAGGTAAACCCGGTACGTCCCAAGCTCTGAGCCTCTTATGCCGGAGTTCACTTCACTAAACATATTGGGGAACATACTAAACATATTGGGTTAAAAATATTGTTTTTCCCCAATATGTTTAGTGCCTCTCCCCCGACCTACCTGAACGAGCACTGGCGAGGCGGCGAGCTCGTGGTGGCCTTTCGGAGCGGCTATGTGACCTGGAGAAACCGAGTTGGGCTCAAGTACGCTTTTGCTCGTTTCCCGCAGGGCGGAAGGAAGACTAAACCGTAAGGCGTTTTGGGGGGGAGCCTTGATTGAACTTGCAGGGTCGGGGGACTTAGTAACTAGATATTTTAGGGACTTATAAGTACCATAACCCCAATTAGGATTTTAAGGGCACTTATAAGATGCCCCAGCTAGATCGGAAACACGATTGCCTAGTTCTCCGTTTCGATGGAGTCTTGGGAGGGAGTTTAGGCAAGATTATGGCCCGTCAGGCGCAGTAATTAGTTTGTCCAAGGCCAGGGTCCGCCATGTAATGCAAAACATGTAATCTGAAATAGAACCCTAAGGCGCAAAATGGCCCAAAAGCCTTACTGTGTTAGTTCTTAGAGCCTTAAGTAGAGAAATAGAACATAGTGCGAAATAATGCTTCCGTCGTGAGATCTCTAGGAGAACATAAGTCTGGGCAGACGTTGCTGTGGCAGCGATTGTTTTCGCACGCTGCGCTGGCATGCTTGACCTGCAAATAATATACCCCCCCAAACCTTATGGCAATGATTAACGGCCCCATATTAATTACACTGGGTTTTGTCGGCTTACTCCCGAACAGGAAGCCTGAAAACGAATTCTGTTATTGCTCTTGACCCTAAACCGTCCAGCCCTTAGGGTCCTTCAGGTGCAGTTGCTGGGCCCTGATGACTACAGCCAGAAGGGCCCGCAGTGACGGCCTTGGGGGTGGTTCTGGTGTTTAGAGGTTGGTCGGTTTAATGTCATTGAGAACCTTCTTGAATATACTGTTGGGTTTCAGTGGATTTAGGGGTTGCAGGGTTTAGCCTTATGATTCTATGATACCATGGCCCTGACTAGTGCAGGTACTGCTGCTGGACATTCTAAGAGTCTTCTTCTTGTCGTAGGAAAGGGGTTTAGGGGTGGGGCGATGTGCTTGGGGATTCTGGCCGGGCGAGCACTAGTCAAGCGTGTGGAAAAAGGGGTCTGACGGGTCATAAGGGTTTACGGTTTTTGCGGCTCAAGGCTTTGAGGGCTTCCAGATGTCTCGGATCTAAAGCTTTGACTGGGAAGTTGGTTCTAGACCCGAAACAGACGGGCGCCTGTTTTGGAGGCGCTTGTTGCTGTTGCCTTGTCGAGAGTCATGTAATCAAAACCCGACACGCCAAGCCCTATATACTTTTGGAGCCGGGGACTCTGGTTATGGATACCTTAGTTGCTGCTTGTAACCTTGCTCTGTTTAAATGAAGCCTTTCCAGCCCCTAGCTGTAAGGATGCTGGTTCAGGTATTTTCGAACCGGCAAGATGCGATTCCTCAGTACATTTTCGATTGCTTGTTGCCGACTTGCGAACCGTAACAATCTCCGGGCTGCCGCATGCCGACAGAAGACTCAAAATCCCAAATCACCACCAAAACCGAGCTCCCCCGACAACCAGCCTTTCCGAAGCACCCAATTCAGAAAACGCATCCACTTTCATCTTTGAAGCCCTCTAGAACTTCCCAAGCCCTACAAACTTCACCCAAAACCACCGGAAAAAACTAACCCCAGCAACCCTCAACCTCTAAACCCCTAGTTACCATACTTGTGAACGCCCAGGTTACGTCCCCCTTCGGATGCCTTTCATCCCTCTGGCCTCGCCGTGGTTGGAGAGCGGGTGCCTTCACCTGGGTTCGTGGCTTCGGGTTTAGCGCTTAGAGGTTTAACCTTTTTCGGGTAGTATAGCCCCTATATTATCCCCAAAAACCAAAAAAGGTTAATTAGCCTTTAGTTCCCCATGATACCCGACAAGTAGGAATCCTTTCACCGGATATTCTCGGGCTCATGAAGTTTTTGCGAACCGGCTTTCTGGGTTCAGGAGGATCTGACTTTGTGGTTCAAGGGTTCGGGATGATGCTTGAAGCAATGAATTCTGAAGGCGTTTCGGGGCACACGTTGATGGCTTGGAGGGCAGCATGGCAGCGGGTTCTGGCAAAATGATTTGGGTTCTGTCCCTCTATCACGGGAATTCTCTGGCTTGCTAATGGAAGTCGCTGGCACGCACCCTCCCCATGGAAGTCCCGCGCCGAAATTCACCTGAAAAGCCGGTTTCGTGACCGCACTTCTGGTATGGGCACATGTGAGGTACATAATAATCCGATGAGTCCCTGCCGAGATCGGTGATCATCAGATTCTCATAGGAGGCCAAAAGGGGTTTTAGCCTATGGGGGTTTAGTAGGGATTACTGTAGGGTCCCCATAATAGGGTTCATATTAAGGAATCCCTAGCCCAAGAATCTTAAACCCCCTCTTGGCCTCCCATCAGATTCAGATGCACCTCATGCGGAGGTAGCCGTATAATTCGAACTGAACAGCCTCGCCTGGGGTGTCCGAGAAACCAAACCCCGGGCCCTAGTAGTAGTAGTAGTAGTAGTAGTAGTAGTAGTAGTAGTAGTAGTAGTAGTAGTAGTAGTAGTAGTAGTAGTAGTAGTAGTACCCCAAACGCTATAATGTCAGATACCCTCTTCCAAAGCATGTTCTTCATCCTCTTCCTATACCTTAATCAGCCTAAACCCTAAATCCTAATCAGCTTAAACCCTAAATCCTAAAACGCATACTTTGTGTGATATCCCCTTTGCCTGAGAAGCCAAGGTTTTCGTGAGCTGTTCTCGAACTTCGACGCTTCACCAGCGACTTGGCTCAAGATTATACACGGAGGTTCTACAACGGCTTTTCGAGTGGCTCTTTATTCAAGAGGGTTTCTGATTCTATACATGGGTTGTGAGTTCTATGAGGGTGCTGCAAAGGTTCTATAGTGATTTTTGGGCTACTGTCTCTAGGGTCTAGAGATTAGGTTCGGGGCTTTAGGAGCTTGGGCTTTGAGGCTTTAGGTTTGAAGGGTTTAAGCTAAAGTTGATGCTTCGGGCTTTTGCATGCCCTCATGGTGCAATCCAGAAAGAAACGTTCGAGCTTCGGGTATAAGACTCTGGATGTGGGCAAATATAGGGTAGCAGAGACTGAGGTGGCAGTGGCACAGTCCCAATAGTTCTAGCCGAAAGTGACGTTATGGTGCTTGTTCGCACCGCTGACACCTCAAGGTCATTGAATGTCATGCAATCAACACTACGGAGGCGAGCAGAACAAGGATCAGGACCACCGCAGATATCTCGTCTCGCCACCACCGCCGCCATCACCAGCATCCGATTGAGAGGCACCGGCTCATACACGAGATTTAATTTTGCGAGCTTGAGCTTGGGGTTTCCTGAGGCTCCTTGCTTCGAGGTCGCTTTGAAGTTCGGCATTAACCCAATGCCTTTACGCGAGGGCTGATGACGGTGATGATGCTGATGCCCTTGCATGCTGGCAGGCTAAATCTGATGCTGATGATTTCCTTACGCAAAAGCGCGCTGATGCTCGTGACAGCTCGCACAAAGGCCGGCTGATGTTGGTGATCCTCGCGCGAAGCTTGGCTGATGCTGGCGATGCTCGCGCACGGGCGGGCTGATGCTGACGATGTCCTCACACGAAAGCCGATACTGATGATGCTCTCAGACGAAGCTTGGTGATGCTCGCACAGGTGTCAGCTGATGCTGATGCTGCGCTTGCACGAGGGCCGGCTGATGCTGATGATGCTTTGACGCGAGTGTCGGGCGATGCTGATGATGCTCTTGCAAGGACCGGCTGATGCTGGTGATGCTCGCGTGAGGGCCGGCTGATGCTGATGATGCTCTGACGCGGGGTCTGGTGATGCTCGTGCGAGGTATTGATGATGCGCCGATGATACCCCTACACTCATGATGTCCTCACGCGAGGGCCTGCTGATGCTGGTGACGCTCAAGCGAACGTCGGTTGATGCTGATGATGCTCTATCGCGAGGGCCGGCTAATTGCTGACGATGCTGTTGCCGGCTGGAGCCGATGATGCTCGCGCCGTGGCAGGCTGATGCTGATGATCCTTTCGTGAAGGGCCAGCTGATGCTGATGATGCTCTGACGCGAGGGTCGGCTGATGCTGATGATGCTCTGATGCGAGGGTCTGGTGATGCTGATGATGCTCGCGCGAGGTATTCAGGTATTGCTGTTGTGCGATGATGTTCTTACATTGATGATGTGCTCATGCGGTGGCCTGCTGATGCTGGCGATGCTCAAGCGAGCGTCGGCTGATGCTGATGATGTGCTGAGGCGAGGGCCGGCTGATGCCGATGATGCTCGCGCCGTGGCCGGCTGATGCTCATGATGCTCTCACCGCCTGATGCTGGTGATGGCGCATGCTGATGATGCCCTCTCACGAGGTTTGGCTGATGCTGACGATACTGTCACACGAAGGTGGTTGATACCGATGCTGATGAGGCCCGCACTCAGGCCCGGCTGATGTTGTTGATGTGCTCGCGCGGTGGCCGGCCGATGTTGATGATGCCCGTCACGTGAAGGCCGTGTGACGCTGAGGTTCAGCTTGCGCGACGGAAGTCATCTGCAGCAGCGGAAAGGCGGCAGCTCGGAGTTGCACCAGACAGAATCTTTTGCAAACTCACAGGGGCAAGGTCTTCCGGAGGGTTGCTTTTGCCGGGATGTAACGGAAAGTCTCCGGAGCAGGAGACTCGCAGCCAAGCGGCTAGAGGAAACTTTTCACTTTGGGCTCTCCTTGCTGAAACAGAATGCTTGGGAACGGGGTACCCTTATTGTGAATGGGTTACCAGGGGACAGGCATGTCCGATTGCTGCTGAAGGATGCTTGGAAGTGGAGAATGTAGATCTAGATTCCCGTTAATTGGTCTTCAGCCGCCGGACAGTGTGCACAAGCCGGGCTTGGGAGCCGACACCTCTTTTTCGTATGTACATGATATGTGCATGTGTGTGTGAAGATACATGTGTCCTTTATATATATATATATGTATACATGCAGATGTATATGGTAAGTATTATGGACTTGTGTATTAAGTACATGTATGTGCATGTAATCAGGATCGCATTGGGAGCTGCAAGAGCCGAGCGGCATGGCAGTGATCGAGGCCCAGTGATGTTGTCAGATGAGAAAGCGGTGTGTGTGTGTGTGTGTCTGGAATTCGGGGCTGGGGTTTACAGTTTCGGGTTGACAGGACAGAGGGGCGGACGCTTTGAGCTTTAGCTAGACGTGAGCCCAGTGGTAAACAGACAGGTCGAAAGGTGTTCATTCAACGGTTGCTCCAGGCGATGTAAGTCTTATCATGTCATTTCCGGATGGCGATCCGAGACCGGAAGCCTTGAGCCCTGATCCATTCTCCGTGCTTCTTTAACTTTCAGCCATAAACTCAAAGACCTGTTAAATATTACAAAAAGCCCCAGTAGGAGGGTAAGAAAAGCTCCAAAGACGCCAACAACCTTATAAGGCCTTGCCAGGATTGTCCGAGTCCGAGCGTCAGAACACCACGCGCCTTCTTAGCCAAGTCATCAACCCTAAACCCTAAACCCGGATGGGTTCTAATATTGTATATTTAGCCCCTATCGCATCTTATTCCCGCAACCTCATATGTGACCTGCAGCCACATAATTCCCGAGGTCTTACTTATTCTATGCTTGCTTCATGTTTGTCAGACCTTGGGAAGGATGAAGTCATTGCAGTGCACAGTCACTTTAGGTGTTTGGTATTCTTTGTTGGTTTTTCTCATCATGACTTTCCCTTCAGTGTAGTCTCACCCTTCAGACTTCAGACCGCATGCCTCGCCTGGATTGTCCGAGTGCGAGCGCCGAAACCCTAATTGGGTGAGGATCGCATCCTGGCGATTGCCGACCGCGGGCTGGCAACCCGCCCTTGCTTAGGACTGGGGAAACAGAACTTCAGGCTTTGCGCTTTGAAGTTCGAAGGAGTAGTGCCTGGGTCTACTGGGCTGTTAGGATCTGTTAGGCTTTGTTTTTGTTTTGGGACGGTTAGGGTTTCATATGTTTCACGAACGGCCTTTGGGGGTCAGGGAGCCTCCTGGGTGAAGGATCTGGAAAGTCTGTGTAATGTAGTAGAGTGTAGAGGTCCAATGTCCACGTGTTGCGTGGACATAATTCTGTCATAGCATACCACCCAACAATCACCTGTTCCACTTAGGAAGGCGACGTAAGGGCTCGAGGACATGCGGACAACGTTGCTATAACCCCAATGATTCCTACGGTTGCTGTCAGTAATGAGTGGTGTTCTGTTTGAAGCCGCATTGATCATTTGCGGTATTGCTTTTCGGCATATGTTAGTTCGAGTCATGTCCCGCAATTCCAAAGAAAGTTCCAGACAGACCTTGTGTGCCAGACTTTTTTCCAGCAATTGTTGCTGCATCCAACCTGTAACCGCTTGCATCCAAATTGGGCTAGCTAACACTCAGCAGATCTCAGCAGTGATTGAAGAAAAACCTTTTTTCGTTGCCCGCGACTAATGCACGTGGCATTTGCAGGCTTTTGACGTCGAAAGAGCACCACATTGTCAGTCAGTGCTGGATTCTTTCTTCGGTGGGGTGACCAGGTGACCAACCCAAACCCAAACTTCGCAGAACAGCAGCCATGAGCCCAGCCCCCCCAAAGAAGGCAGCAGACCTCCCAAGATCTATCTATATATATATACACAATTATACACACATATACATGTAGGTATAGAGTAAATATAGCGTATGTATATTATATATATATATATATATATAAGTAGCTATGAATGTATGTATATATATATATATATATATATATATATACACACATACCCTAAAGATCCCACTCCCATGCATGCGCTGCCGAGCACCGCGTGCTGCTCCTGGATGCGGAGAGCCTGGATTTCCATGGTCAGGTCCCGGATCCCCAGGCCGGACAACAAAGCGTGTCTTATAATATGGGGGCCTTAATAATTACCTACAGTGTTCCCTAGGGTTCCTTACTCTAACTATACTATAGAGGCGCCCGAAACCCTATTCTGATTATTAAGGCCCCTGTATTATGCATTTCTGTAAGAGTTTCTGTTGAAAGGTAGCAGTGCAACTGCAACATTCGACATGTCCACGCTCAAGGTCACTGGGCCTCTCTTGAGGTTCAAAGACAGAAACCCGATCCCGAAACTGAACCGGTTCGGGGAGAAACCTGTCATTCGGCCTTACCCAGAGGCTCCAAAGTAGTTCCTTTTTAGCGTTACTTTACAGGATTCTAAAGATGAACCCTAAACAGGAACTACTATCGAGCCTTAGGGTAAGCAGAAAGACAATCCGAAACCCTGAGCCCGAAGCAGCAAAGCCCTCCAACTCCTTCAGAGGTACAGTACACCCACCGACAATCCCTACACTGCTGTACACGTCTCATCCGCACCAGGATCCCGACGGCCTTCCAAAAGTGGGAAAAACATGCCACGCATGCCTGAAGCCATGCAAAACGAGATGTAGACCAAGCCCGTTGATTCCTTTTCGTGCCCGCCCCCCAAGCCTACGCCCTACGCCCTCAAACCCTACACCCTTAACAGCCAAAACCTTCAGCCGCTTTAAACCAAAACCCCCTTAAGAATAGAAGCCTAACCAGACTTGGCGCTCGCAACAAGCTCCGGGCGCCCTGCAAAAGCCGAACGACGTCGCCGTTGACGCGGCAGGCCGGAACTCTTAAAAGGGGCTCAAAGCAGAGAGAGAGAGAGAGAGAGAGAGAGAGAGAGAGACAGGAACAGAGCGAGAGAAGTAGGCATTCATGGTGTACATGCAAGTGTGTGTGTGTGTGTGTGTGTGTTGACGGTCATGCAACCGTTTCGGCATCAGACAGGCAACTTGCTTGTCATGGACACCCAGAACGAGCGGGTAGCCGTGTATCGCCAGGACATGCCGGGAGAAATGCTTGTTTTGGCCCTTCAGAACTCGCACCTGAGCTTGAGGGTTCGGGGCCAGTGCGAACGAAGATCCGTACGCTGGCATTGCGGGTTATTAGACATTTCATGTGTGTAGGGGCTGAAATAATTACCAATACTAGTTTGGTGGCTCCTTATTCTAGTTATGTTAGCCTGCAGACCCTTTCAGAATCGAGAAGCGAACATAGGATGGAGAACAACTGAGGCTCATTGTGACATGCGATGCTAAAGCAGTCCTTCCAAAACATGGCGCAGCCTGGCATTGCTGATTCGAGAGATATACTCTAGGGCCCTAAATAATTACCAATACTATCTGGCACAATGGGCCCCAAAACCCTATTCTATTTATTAAGGCCGCTTCTTCCTCAGCCGTCCAAGCCTACAGCGACACCCTGCGGCTGACAAGCGCCCAGTCAGCCACAGCTCGTTTATTCGAGCCTGCAGCCCTAAACCCAAAACCCTAAACCCTAGCCCTCAAAGTAGTGACTGAGGTCCTGAACTAGCTAGCTCTACTTCAACAGGATCTCGGTGACAGCGATGGCCCGTTAGTTATTGTAGGTGTACCTCTTAAGGGGAAGTGTTGTTGAGCCATCCAGCAGCTCTCGATAGTGCAGTCTCACACTGTGTCAGCAGACCTCGAATCATATGCCTCGCCTGGATTGTCCGAGTGTGAGCGCCGAAACCGTTAAAGGAACTTCTCTTAAAGAAGCCCTTAAAGGAGCCCTTAAGGAAGCCCTTAAAGGAATCCCTTACAGGGAACCCCTTAAAGGAACCCTTCAGGGCTTCGTTTCAAGACCTTTCAAGCACTTCTAGTTTGCTGTCATTCTGTGGGAACACGGAGGATGGATCGCTCGTGGCCAGCGTCATGGAGGGTTTCTTCAAGGCCCTGTACGTGGAGCTTCAGGGCTAAACCCCTAATATGGGTTATAAGGACAGTTACCCTACTTCTAATTCTAACCCTATCTGCCCTATCTATCTATGTTTATATATATATATATATATGTACATATGACTTATGACTACGCATCAACCTCCGAGTAGGGTTTCCGATGTATTGCCTTGGTCTTGGGGCGTTGGGTTATGGGACCAGAGACCACGATGTACTGGCTTGGGGTCCAGGGTTTACAGGTGCGGTTGAGGCGAGCCGAACACACTGACTCGTCCGTTGATGCCGTAACCACTGTAACCACGACGACCACACCTTATGACGATATGGCTAGGAGGAGGAGCAGGAGAATGATGCCAACACAACAACATATGAGTTGCTGCTGCAGATATTATCAGTTCGTGTGGCCTTGTCATCGGCGCTCCAAAAGCCATTTCTTTCCCAATCAGGGGGATTCTGAACATGGAGTCAAAAAAAAGCTTGTCTGCTAGCAGCACGGCAGGGATTCTGCGAGTTTTGTCGTTAGTTGGCACATTGCCGCGCGGGTCTGTATGTAAGTGTTCGACTTGGTTCTTCCTCAAGTTCTGGTGTTTCCGTAGAAGTGAAAGTCTGAGATCTAGCATGACGCAGGGATGCTAAGAAGCCACTGATGATCAGAACGCACAGGTTGACACGTGGCCGTAATGCCAACAAACTGCGAAGCGCCGAGAAGAGGTACTACAGGGGCCTTAGTGATTACCTATACTATTTTGGAGGTTCCTTGTTGTTATTATCATAATTATGATACAACATACCACCGCGCCTCAACAAACACTTTGTTTTAGTTATTAAGGCCCCTATATTACCTGCTTCCAGCGGCGAGCAGGACCATGGTAACACCTTCAGCTACCTCTCATGCAACCATGCAGCTCGGTGGCAGCCAGCCCTAAAGCTTGTCTCATCCTGTTGTCTTCCCCCTTGTCACTATAATTGCTTTGATTTCGATTTTTCCTTTAGCTGTAATGCTCCTCAGAACGACGGAGTATACCCCTTCTTTAAAGGCAGTGTGGCTGTTTGGGCTAATTCCTTTTGCCAATTTCTGCTTTCAATGCGACTACGGCCCTGAGCTATGAGTAATGCGTACTTAGTGTTACCAAGTGTTTTTCGATGTGCTGTGGTTCTCAATTAAGCCATGCTGGCCCGCCTTACTTGAGTTTCCGCTGGTCACTGGTACATGGAATCATCGATGTTCTCTTCTGCCCTCTACTTCAAGTGTAAAACTACTTCGAGCGGGTGTTCAGGGTTTCGTCAAAGAGGCCATGTGGGCTTCGACCGCACCACAGTTGCTTTCACCTGCGACTATGTAGTGTCCATGTCTTTGTGAGGACAGTTTGTGAAGACGCTCGCTTCTTCAGGAGTTACAGGAAAATTGGAGCATGAAGAGAATTAGTCGGCACTGCTAGCTGCTGGCTACCATAGGACCTCTACCGAACTTGTCCTAACGACCTAAGGTCAAGTTAGGGTTTATCATGTCCAACAAGCAAGACAGATGCAGGAAACTGGGTACATTGCCATCTCCAACAACGATGAGCACCGGCCCCCTGCCCACTCTGGGTGTGTAGATATCAGGAGCCTACGAAGAAGCCCAAGCTAGAGGATAGAGTGAAAGTGGGCCTTTGGAGATCGGGTCTTCGCGCATCAGCGCAGTTGAGTTGAGGGTGTTCCGATCCCGCGGGATCCTGAGGGTGTCAGGATTCAGGAGGGAGTTTCCGAAAATCAGGGGTACCTTATTTGGGGGTCCTTATAATAAGGATCCTACTATGTAGGGTACTATATTAGGGTCCCCTATTTTCGGAAACTCCCATGAGGCACGTTTGAGGGTGAATTGCCAGATTCGGGGTTCTGTGAGGAGAGGCTTAGGCGAGGCATCGAAGATTCTCGGACTATTGACCTAACTACCGACTGAGTGGTGATGCATGTGCGTCCTGCAGCTGGTCTTAAGCATTCCGGGCAGGAAAGTATTACACCTCAGTGCTCCGAGAGCAAGTACGGCTGCTGTTGCACGATGTGCTAGAGTTGCGAGAGGAATAGAGATCACTTGCTTCAGATACAGGCACGCGCATGTATGTATACAGTTGTATGAGTTTGTCCCCCTTTCCGAGCACAATTTCAGAAACCTTTCTACGTAGTAGTAGAGTAAGCAACCTTTAACCTTTCCTGGGTAGTATAGTCCGTATATTATCCTTGTATAACCTTCATGATTCTATTGAAACTGGGCGTTCTTCTGCTTGGCTCTTAGGACTTTAACTCTTTGGGTTTCTATATGAACCATAACAAGGAGGTCAGCCAAGGAAATATACTCCTCCGCCCAGGGAAAATTCTTCGTATACGTATTGGAGTTTCAGACTGTCCAAACCGACGAGATGTTTCTTTGCCGAGGGTTGCGGTCCTGGCACCACCGTGAGTTGCCCAAGGCCCACTGAGGCTGCAAGGTTTGCCCAGCCATTGCGTCACATAGGGGCGTAATACGGGCCTCAAGAACTTGACCAGGGCTCTACAAGTTATACATTGTCTCAAAAAAAGGGGGAAATAGGGTTTCGTTGCTCAACAATAAGACTGATGTTCGCGGTGTATTCTGCTACTTATATATGGGTGGTTGTCAAGATTTTGGACTCTTTTTGGGCACCCTAAATAACAGGTGCCGTATAATAATAAGGACCCAAAAACGGACCGTAATTTTGACAACTACCCATATGAAGGAACCTTCTGGAAGGTACAGTAGGTCCGTTTACGGTTAAAAAAGGCAGGGTAAGGTTCCAGGAACACGCAGCATAGGCGAGGCAAGACTTTCGTTGTGGAACTGCTGTGACCTTGCTACTCGATACAGCAGGTCTTCCAATGTGCGACTTGCAGTGGAAGCGGGTGATGCATTAGAAGCTGCCCCCACCCTGTAATAGTGGTATAATTAGAATATAATAGGAATATATTAGAGCACTAATATAATCCTTATAGTGGCAGCTTCTAAGTGATTCTAAAGATCCTGGGGCTTGACGGTTCTTAGGCTTCTCTTCTATTGAGGGACAAGGCTTTGGCAGTTTGGGGTTCTAGACCAGTCTTATCAAGGGGCCTACGGGGGGAGTAGTAAGTTCACTATACTACTATACAACTAGTTCGTTTTAGGGTTAACCTGCCCGCAAAATCGTGCTTATTGTTGTCTACCCTGAGTTGCTGGTATCCATGACCTTGCAGATCCTCAGCCCGGACCTGCCCGAGGTGCCGGCCTACAGGTGTGCAGTTTTCCGGATATGACGACCGTTGTAGGAGAACGACCACACCAAGAGCAGTAGCAGTAGCAGCAGCAGTGGTGTAGCAGCAACAGACCACCACCCTCGTGGCGACAACTATTGCTATAGGTACCCCGACTACTACTACTACTACTACTACTACTACTACTACTACTACTACTACCACTACTACTACCACTACCACTACCACTACCACTACCACTACTACTACCACTACCACTACCACTACCACTACCACTACCACTACCACTACCACTACCACTACCACTACCACTACCACTACGACGACTACTACTACTACTACTACTCCTGCTGCTACTTCTGCTACTGCTACTGCTACTACTACTACTACTACTACTACTACTACTACTACTACTAAAACCGCCTCCACCACCGCCGCTTCCACTGCTGCTGCTGCTACTGCTACTACTACGGTGACAAAACACTACCACTACTACCAGTGCTGCTGCTACAACTTCTCCAAACACCACTAGGGCGACTGCTACTACTGCGGCTACCCCCTTCTACCAAGCACAAATAAGGGCAGAGAGTCAGATTTGATGCTGTTCTCCGGAAACCCGAACTCGCCTTGTATGTCAATGCAGACGAGCGGCTCGCACAACGTCGCAGTTTCATGGACCCAGCCTGTGGCATCACAGGACTACCACCGCGATGGCGCAGGTTTGCCGCATTGTGACAGAGAGAGAGAGAGAGAGAGAGAGAGAGAGACATAGCGATTCAGACATTCTCATTTTTTATTATTGTCATTCGTTTTGTTACCATTATAAACATTGTGATTATGGCTACTACTGTAATTGTTTTCACTCTTTTCTACTATTGTAGTTATTGTTGTTCTTGTTATTGCTACTTGTTGCTATTATTACCATCAATGTTACTACCATTACTTGTGTTACCACACCATGATTAGTGTTGTTATCGCGATTAGTCCTATTACTACTGCTGTCCAGGCATGCCACAGCTCAGCGGAAGTTTGAAGGTCAGTCTGCCCTGGACTGGACAGCAACCTGCCAAGCGGAAGAAGATCCGTGTTTAAAAAAATGCGAAGGCGCACGCTCCGGGAGTTGCCAGGGGAGTTGCCAGGGGCTTGCCCTAGGTTTTTCGGCTTATTGCCAGCACTCTGAACAAACTTGCCTTGGCTGATGATCGGAAAACTGAAATCCACGAACTTCTCCAGATTTTGTCTGAATCCGAATGTCCTACAAACCCTAAACTGCTAAACCCCTGAGCGCCGAAACCCCCTACAATCCTAAACTCTTCCCCCGCGGCCGCCGGTGCAGCGCACATGGTGTCTGGCCGTTGTAACCGAAGATGCCCAGAGGCTTTTAACAATGATGGTATCCATGATAATACTATTATACAAGTAGCTTGATAATAAGCTTGTAAAATGGACCAAAATAATGATGGTATCCATGATAATACTATTGATACAAGTAATTTGACAATAAGCTTACATACTGGCTCAAAGCCCAACTCTTCAACTTTCGGGTGAGGTGGCCTTATGCTGAAAGGTTGAGCTTGTTAGCCCATGTTTATTTGGGAAGTGAGTAATAATGTTGATGTTAAAGATACAAGGTTAAGAATACTAATGGCCATAACATACTAGTAATCATAACTTCCTCCAAGCTTCGAGCTGCCAGGCGCCTTAGGGTTAACAGCACCGGATTTGTGTTCGGATGCTTGGGGTTCGGGGTTCAGGCTTGAGGGTCTAGGTTTAGGGGTTTAGGCCTAAGGGTTGAGGGTTTACGAGCCGTTGCCCAGATACTCGCGATATGCTGGGAGCCCATCTTTCAGTTAGGCGTTCTATGAGGGTCCTTTCAGCGCCCAGCTTTGTTCGTGACGTTTCCGTTGTAAAGTTCGGCGAAAGAGAACCCGGAACGTAGGATCGAGACCCTTACATTACCCAGAGGCTCCATAGTAGTTCGTTTTGGGGATTGCCTTATAGGTTTCTACATATGAACCCCAAAGAGGAACTATTATAGAGCCTTAGGGTACGAGCAGAAGATCGGACACGGGTCGTTGGCCGCCCAAGGTGCTTATCGCTGCGTGCCAACAGGCGCCCTTAGCCGTTAGAGCCATGACAGGCTTGTTTACCCAGGGGCTCCATAGTAGCTCCTTTTTGAGATTACCTTATCGGAATCGAAATATGAACCCCAAAAAGGAACTACTATTGAGCCTTATTGTAAAGGCGGAGGTTGGGGAGTTTCGTCCTTCAGGAGTTCAGCGAGTTCAGGGGCCCAAGAACGAGTCGGTAAGTGCTGGGGTAAGAGCAGCGAGCCGCTGGTTCGGGGCCTAGTTCGTGGGACCTGTCTTTTTTGTTCGACTTCTTTTCAGGCTTGAGGCATGGGGTTGAGGATTTCGGGTGCTTGAAGGTTAGGGGTGGCTATAAGTGGGGATATAAGTCCCCTAATATGGGTTAGAAGTATAGTTACCCTACTTATCTGCTTAGAACTACCCATGAACCTCCAGGTGGGTAGCCTTTAACCTGTTGGGGGTTACTATAATCCCACCAACATACTCCCAAAGGTTCACCCATAGTTCCCGGGTGTGGAGTCCAGAGGAACGAAACTTAAGCCCGACCCCGAAGAGCCGCTGACTCCAACAAGCAGGCCCTTTCCGCATTCTGATCCGAGGTAGAGTTGGTTGAAGGGTTCTCCAAACAAGGGTTTAGGGCTGGCCGGCTGGCCGGCACCGCAGTCCGTGCTGAAAAGGTTAGGCCTCAATTCGGACAGACGCCGCCTGAGCTTTCATGGTTCAGTTTTCCGTGACTGTCCAATTGCCAAGATGACTTTGGGTCCTACTGTAATACGGCACCTCCAATTAGCAGCCCGGAGCAGCATGTGTGTGTGTGTGTGTGTCTGTGTGTGTGTGTGTGTGTGTGTGTCTGTGTGTGTGTGTGTTGGTAGCACAGTGACAGGTACTGATATGCATTGACCTGCGCCAGCATGATCCTGACAGACATGCTGATACATCACCACGCGCTAGTACAACATCTCCCTGCAGACTTGTGCCCTAAACCTTAAACCCTAGGCCTTACATAAACCGTACACGCTAAACCTCAAACCCTGAACATGAACCTTCTTTTTTTGGCGGCTCCTACTGGGAACCCAGTTTGGTCGGCAAGGTGAAGATCACGGTCGCCGAAAGCACGGGGAGCTCCACGTTCATCTTCCAAGCAGCCAGGGGCTCGAAACCAACAGCCCAAAATCCATATCAGAGTCTACATACGTATATGATGTATATGATGTATGTATGGATCGATGATTCCCTACTAACCAAAGGTAAGTAAAAAGTGCGCTGCTGACACTTGAGGTGCAGCTCGCGCAGCAGGCAGCTCCCGCCAGCCGCACCGAAACAGGCACGGGTTGAAGTTGGTTTCGTCCCATCCACTGATGAATACCTAGAGGCTCCATAGTAGTTCCTTTTTTGTAGTTCACAAATTTAGAATCCTTAGTAGTTCCTTTTTGGGGTTCATATTTGGATCCCTATAAGGTAATCCCCAAAAGGGAACTACTTTGGAGCCTTAGGGGTATACGGAGCTGCTTTGAGGTCTGCAAAAGTGATGCAGATAGCCAGAACTCCCTGTTTATCTTCATATGCCTGGCATGCTTTCTGCTCAAGCACGTAATTCAGGACCTACAGGATAGCTGTGCATGTTTCGATGGGGTAGCGGCACGCTCTGAGAGCGGGGAGGCTGCCATAGCTGAGCTCAGTTAGAATTCGATGTCCAAAGGGACATGGTATGACTGCATGCCCCCGTGCAACATGCGGGCAAACTTTTCCGAAGGCGCGGTTTGGTGTATTTTTTCGGCAGTTGGGACCACGGTTTGGATCTGTAACGGTTCGAGAGTTTTGAGTTTCCAAGGTCTTTGCTGAACGCACCAGTTGTTTGCGAGAAAAGTGTTTGCGAAGGTTCCGGGCATCTTTGGGAAAGCAGCTGAGGTCGTGAACCCCATGTCGTACCATCCCAGACGAACCTGAGCCTTGAATCTTAGTCTCTAAACCCGAGGCCTTGTAAACTTGTAAGCCCTGAATCCCAAGCTCGAAAGCCCCAGCCGCACGGCAGATAGAGAGAGAGAGAGAGAAACATAAAACCGAAGCCCGAAGCGGGAACCTTAAACCCTAAGGCTGACAGCACTCACTCGCAGATGAGTTCAGTCTCACTCAACAGACCTCACTCCCTGTGCCTCGCCTGGATTGTCCGAGTTCGAGGGCCGAAACCCTAAAACCTTCCTTTACGCCCAGAGCCCTAGAAACCTACACCTTAGAAGGGGCCCCCACCCTGTACTAGTGGTATAATAGGAATATAATAGGGCCCTAATATCATCCTTACCGTCACTATTACAGGTGGGGGGGCCCCTTCTAACCTACACCTGACAGCTTGCGAGGCACAAGGCCGGTGTCATGTCAACCCGAGGCCGCCGACAAGCTTTGGGTTTCGCGCTTGGAGCTTTCTTTGGGTTTCAGAGTTTCTTGGGGTTTCAGAGTTTCTGAAGGGTCTATAGAGTTTGGGGTTTCTGCAGGCAGGTTGTGGTTAGGGGTTTACTTGTTCCTAGCCCAAACTTCAGGGTTTCACTCAGCTGTCTTGGGCCAGACGGCATGTAGAGCTTTAAACCGCAAACAGAATCAAACAGTGTGCAGAGTTTTGAGACTTTTTTTACCTCTTGCATGTCCTGGATAGACCTTTGCCGAAATGTAGCAGAGGAGAACCGGCCAGACGTGATGCTCAGCATAGACTTCTCTTGGGCTTTGCACTGTCGGACCTTGCCAGGGGGGTGCGAATACGACGGCCTACGACCTGCCCCTCGTCCTGCCTTCGTCCGAGACCACCTCGGAGTGGAGAACCGGAATTATGAGTGAACTTCAGTAGTTACGCTCTCGTATTCAAGGCTTTGGCTCTTCAGGCTGTTTTCATGACCAAGAAGAAGACGCAGTCTTTGCATCCAACAACTTAGCCAAAAAAGTCTCCTCTCCCGCTCCGGAAGAGCAACTAGGGTTTAGGGTTTAGGTTACAAGTGCCGTGTCCGGCCAGCAGAAACCTAGGCTTAATTAATCCCTTCGCCTTGGGTTTAACGAGAGCTTTTCAATCAAGCCTCAACCGTCAACCGTAAAGTCTGAAAGCTTAAACCTTACACTATTACAGTATATGGCCTATAAAATGAGCCTATGAGCCCGAAACCCTATAAGCCCCATAAGCCCCAAACCCTATAAATCGAATAAACCATTATAAACCCTACAAACCCTAAAAATCCCTATAAACCCTACAAACCCTAAAAAATCCCCCTATAAGCCCTACAAACCCTAAAAAATCCCATAAAACCCTAGAAGCCCTAGAGCCTAAACTCACTCAGCTCTCCGAGGATGGCCTCAAAAGGTGGGATGAAGGTAGGTAGGATGAAGGATCCCTTATATAAGGGCTCTTATTTGGGGATATCCCACCTACCTTCCTCCCACCTTTAGAGCCCTTTGATCTCCGAGGATGGCCGAGCTGGCCCCACGCTGGAGCGCTTCGAAGGAGGCGGCCGGCCGCCTGGAAGCCGAACTCATTGAGCCTCCGGCTCATTTCGGGGTTCAGGGGTTTAGGGTTTTTCCAAGCCCATGCAGAAAAAGGGGTTTAGGGTTTAGGGGTTTAGGGTTTAGGGGTTCAGGGTCTAGGGTTATGGGTAAACTATGCATAGTCCAGGTGTAAAAGGCTTAGGGGTTCAGGGTATAGTCTGTTGGGTTTCGGACAATTGGGTGACTAAGGTACGTAGGGTTTGGGGGTTGCAGTCCCAGATCCTCCGTTGCAAATATCGCGGCAGCTGAAGGATCAGGGCAATGTGCACTATGGCCCCCTGCTCGATAGGAGGTGAGGCTTAGGGGGTGAGGCTTCAGATCGTGACTCTTCCTGAATTGGAGGGCCTATGCTTAAGATCTCCATCGCAGCCGGCCAAGCTCGCATTGATTTCAATTCGCCTACTGGAACTGGAGGCGTCAGAGGTCCTTTCAAGGTGATTGGTTTTGCCTGTGCCATGGAGAGTCACAGAGGGCTCACGGAAGTTTCGATAGTCTCCGAATGAATGCGCAACGAGAGTGATGTGCGTTGTTGCTCCAGGCTTCACTTGTCAGATTCGCGCCCTTCAAGCCGCAAACTTCCAAAACCAAAAGACGTTGCAATCTAAATCTGAAGCCGCTGTATAGAGTGGGTTTGAGATCTTTAGCCGCTTCCAGAATGCTCTGGATTGTGTTGGCATTCATGAGTCAAGTGTTGATTGCAGAGGGGGGAGTGCTTGGAGGAAAATCACACGGGTGCATAGTCGGGTCAGTACTTCTTGCTTGACTGCGGTGGGAATTCATTCGTTGTGTTTTGCAGAGCATCGAAAGTAAGCAGAGGACCCACGGACCCACCGCGATAGCTTGATGATGATGATGTCCCTTGCGCGAGGCTCAACACAGGCCTTTCGTCACGAGAAAGCGGTCTCTGACTCTGTTCAGCCTGGGAGGTTCACGCGACGGCTAGTCATCGGCTAGTCAGCCTTTAATCTTTCAAGAGCAGACTTTAACATGATATCGTCAAAATCAAAAACATCCTCTCGAAAGCAGACTTTAAATATGTGTCCCATCATGTCCCTCAAAGACCCAAGGAAACCGCGCTGGATGTGGCGAAGCTGGACAAGGAAGACCTCCGCGAGCCGCCCGGCCCTAAACTCCAAACTTCAACCTCGGGCCAACAGGTAGTTACAGTTACAGTGATAGCAATGGTAGTAGTAGTCGTACTTACACGTACTCATGCATGCACACATGCATGCTTACATACGTACATACGTACATACATGCATATTTGCAGGTATGTCTACGTATGCACAGACATCTGCAGTAGATGCTCCACTCATCCCCTGCAATGCGGGCTGCGTCCTTGCTAGGTAGGACGGAAAAACCATTCATCCCGAGCCCAAAGATCGCCCCTAAACCCTCAACCCTAAATCCCTAAACCCTAAACCCCTAGACCCTTAAACCCTAAACCCCTAAACCCTAAACCCTAAACCTCTAAACCCTAAACCCGTAGACCCTTAAACCCTAAATCCCTAAACCCTAAACCCCTAAACCTCTAAACCCTAAACCTTAAACCCTAAATCCCTAAACCCTAGACCCCTAAACCTTAAACCCTAAACCCCTAAACCCTAGACCCCTAAACCTTAAACCCTAGATCCCTAAACCCTAGACCCCTAAACCTTAAACCCTAAATCCCTAAACCCTAGACCCCTAAACCTTAAACCCTAAATCCCTAAACCCTAGACCCCTAAACCTTAAACCCTAGACCCCTAAACCCTAGACCCCTAAACCTTAAACCCTAAATCCCTAAACCCTAGACCCCTAAACCTTAAACCCTAAATCCCTAAACCCTAGACCCCTAAACCTTAAACCCTAAACCCCTAAAGACCCCTAAACCTTAAACCCTAAATCCCTAAACCCTAGACCCCTAAACCTTAAACCCTAAATCCCTAAACCCTAGACCCCTAAACCTTAAACCCTAAACCCCTAAACCCTAGACCCCTAAACCTTAAACCCTAAATCCCTAAACCCTAGACCCCTAAACCTTAAACCCTAAATCCCTAAACCCTAGACCCCTAAACCTTAAACCCTAAACCCCTAAACCCTAGACCCCTAAACCTTAAACCTTAAATCCCTAAACCCTAGACCCCTAAACCTTAAACCCTAAATCCCTAAACCCTAGACCCCTAAACCCCTATAAACCCTAAACCCCTAAACCCCTAGACCCTAAACCTTAAACCCCCCTAAACCCTAAATCCCTAAAACCCTAGACCCCTAAACCTTAAACCCTAAATCCCTAAACCCTAGACCCCTAAACCCCTATAAACCCTAAACCCCTAAACCCCTAGACCCTAAACCTTAAACCCCCCTAAACCCTAAATCCCTAAAACCCTAGACCCCTAAACCTTAAACCCTAAAAGAGAACTCCGCTTCTCGGGATCCTTGCGAGTCGAAAAAGGGCCGTTCAAAAAAAAAAAAAAAAAACCCTAACCCCTAAACCCCTTAATCCCCTAAATCCCTAAACCCTAAATCCCCTTAATCCTAAACCCCCCTAAACCCCTAAACCTTAAATCCCCTTAAAACCCTAAAAGAGGCTTGGCCTTGCCATGGCAGAGAGGTGCCGCGTCCTGCAGTGGTCTGCCTCGCTCTCCTCCCTGCCACAGGCACTCGGGGGTAGTTGTCAAAAAACCGTAAAACCCTAGGGTTCCTTAAAGGGACCTATAAGGGTTCCATAAAGGGTTTAGGATGTAGGATTCTATTATATGGGTAGTTGTCAGACCTCTTTTGCTAGGTGTTTCCATTCGGGGGCTTGGGGGTAAGTCAAGCTTCGGAGCCTATGCAGCCGTTCTACGACTCCCGAAACAAGGCTTGCTAGGGATCTAGGGACTCATATGGGTGGTTGTCAAAATTATGGTCCCTTTTGGGGTACCCTGAATAATAGGTGCCGTATTATGATAGGACCCAAAAAGGGACCATAATTTTGACAGCCACCCACTTCCAAGGAAGACGGCGCGGCCTGTACACCTTCAATTCGAAGCCTCAAGATGAAACTCCGAAGCCCATCATGCTATAGTTTCAACGAGGGGCCAAGGAATAGCATGGAACAGCGCTACTAAGTGTTCAGGCTGGTTTCCAACAACAGCCCGCTTGCAGAAGCCCGTGGAGCTGTTTGATCTTCGATTTCAGACTATTCTTTTGAGCAGGTTCCTGCCGGTCCAGTCCGATTGGACCGCCACACCTCCGACCTACCCTTGACGTTGCACCTGTGTCGCATGTACTATGATAAGGGGTGACTTTAAGGGTGCTGTGAAGATTTCATACGTGTAGTATTTTTGCATAAGACTTCTATAGAGCTGGTGCAGGTTATGTTGCTTCTGGACTTGAAGCCCCCACTCAAATTGGGAGAGGTTCAAGTTGTGGGGTAGTTGATGGCTGTACATTGCGCTTGGTGGTGCGGGGCTCTGATCCGAACTACGATGCTCTTTGGTACTGTTTCGGGTGTCGGCTCCTTGTCAAAAGCACATCCGACAAGGAAAAGGCCTAGGATGCCCAGTAGTACCCTTATTCCCTTTTTGTAGTCCTAGGTTCCTTATAAAGTAACCCAGTACCAAAAAGAGAGGTCTGTTTATTCTTAGGTTGCTGGGTATCCTAGAGGCCCTTCACTCCAGGGAAACCTGTACCAACATCCCCTAAACCCTGTGATACGTGCCAACAGTGTGTAGTTAACGAATCAAGGACTAGGATTGCTACAGACCTTGCCAGGCTTTGTCCGAGTGTGAGTGTCAAAAAAAAAACCAAACCGACTCTTCGGACGAGCGGTCTTGGGCTAGCAGGGATAGGTGGTTCTGAGGGATCTACCGATCTACCCGAGGCTCTTTGCTTTTTAGGGTGTGGTACATGTCCAAGCTGCAAGGATAAGCTTTTGTCCGTTAGACCCTGTTCGTTTTAAAAGTTCTAAGTCGGGTAAGGCCGAAGTTGCTCCTGTGAGCTCGGACAGCTTCAAAGGCGCAGGGCGTCCTTGTAACAAAACGCAAGACCGCTCGATGAGGCACAACTTGGAACGATCTGTAAAGAATGGCATCTCCGAGTTTTCGCAACTTGGCAGAGTGTTTCGAGTTGCTCGCGGACCGAAAAGTACGGAAGCAGTTGAGACCCCCCCAAACAAACAAGTTATTGCTCTAAATCAGGGTCCTGGCTAGGCGTCGTTGTTGCAAGTGTTTCCCTGAAACCGCGCTGCACCCCTCTCTAGTGGCCGAGCTGGCAAACCCTCTGCCCGAAAATAAGCTTCAGTGGGCAACATCTTCAGAGTCCCCTCCCCCAAGTCTAAGCTTGAGTCGCAACATCTACCTGTAGGAAGCTCGAGCTTACGGTAGTGAGTCTTCAGTCCTTGCTAGACCAACTGTCCTCGTGGTTGCATGAAGACTCGCACAAGTCGCCGTGCTTGCATCAAGCATAAAAAGCAAGTTAGCTATGTCAGCCGGACACACTTCACAAGAGCAGTTGTGCAGTAGCAACAGCGGATAGCACTTATAATAGCACACACATCTGTAGCCCTGCGCCATGAAAGTTTCATAACCTGTAGCACTGTAGCACTGTAACAACATGCAGCCGCAAACCTTGAACCTCGGAGCCCTATGGAACCTTCTCTGCCATGGCGATGGGTTCTGAAGATGACAGGGGAGCAGTCGGCAGCGTGCGGGCTTCGAGGATAAAGGCCATTGTCACGGTCGCCTTGCCGTTGATCGGATTCGGTGCCGCGGCGGCGGTCTTGCGGGGAGGCCGGATGGTACCTCCAGGCTCTGGCGCAAAGCTACCTGTGCCCGAGTCCTTCTGCCCCGTCACTCGTAGGGAAAGCGGCTTCGCGTGTAGCGGAGGCGCTGCCCGGAAGAGGGCACGGCGCCAGCCGCACCGCGAGCTCGGCTTCAACGTTTCAGCTGCCGAAATGGTGGGTCAGATGCGGGATGAGGTGGCGGCCTTCTCGTGCGACTTCGCCCGGGATCCACCGCGGAGTTCCGTTTGGCCTCCGACTGAACCCACCATTTTGTCAAACGTCACAGCCGGCTGGCCGGCCAGCCACCTCAGCCGGGACGACTTCCTGAAACACTTCGAAGGTTGGCGTCTGCCCTTGAGCACGTTCTTGCGCGACTGTTGGCTGGCCCTTGTTAAGCAAAGCGGACAGCTGGCGGAGGTTCCGGAGGAGGCTTCTTTCGAAGAGTACCTAGATCTTCGCGCTGCCACAAACCGCAACATCTTCTTCTTCCTTAGGGATGACTTGAGCCAGTCGCAGGCCAACGAGCACCGGCTGAAGAAGCGGAAGTTCTTTGACGAAACCATGGCCAAGATTTTCGCGCCACCGACGAAGTTCGAGACGCAGCTGCGGATCTTTGCCATGGATGGCTTAGCTGCGGGCCATGGTATGCATTGCCATGCCGAGGCATGGCTGGTTTCGCTCGTGGGACGGAAGGTTTGGTGGGCTGCCCCACCGTCTTCTGTGCAGCCAGTGAACACTAACTCGGATGGCCGCCCCGTGTATCCGTACAAGGCCCTTGAACGCGAGGAAGGCGGCTGGCCCTGTGCCTGGCTACTGGATGAGGCCTCTGCACCCCCGGGCACGTGGCGCTGCGTCCAGCAGCCGGGCGAGATGGTGATCCTTCCCGCCGGATGGTGGCACATGACCTGTTCCCTGGACGAGCTGAACATGGCACTCGGTGGACAGGAGGCTTGAAGCTCCCTTTCGTTGAAGAGCTTATGCCGCGTGGCCATGCATTCCCGTTTCACTCCTGATTTTAAAGAAGTTCCAGAAAAGGCACGTCTGGTCGAAGTCCGCTCTTTACGTGCAGGCTTCGTTGTAGTGCAAAGCAGCCCCATAGCATGGTAGAGCGAAGAGTATGACTTGTAGCAATCATAGCAACAGCGAAGCTTTCTGATGACCATGCTGTTTTGTTTGGAGCGCCGTTTGAAGCTGCGGTTATTGCAGACGCAGGCAGGGGTCACATTCTCGAACATCGCATTCTCGAACATCCGAATCCTTGGAAGCCACCATAGTCGCGTAATCCCCCTAACCAAATCCGCAACCAAAAGCACCCACACCCCTCTTTAGATGATTTATGGCCGCACAACCTAGCTCCTAGTAAACCCCAAAGCCCGCCAAGGCCTTCGCCCATGGCAAGGTCTATCGACACACGCTGCTCGCCCTGGGTGGAGATCGAGGCAGCCGATGGCAGCCGAAGGGCGCACGGGACCAAACCGGAAGGGCCCAGTCGGTTTAGGATTCAGGATGTAGAGGTGGGGTTTGTGATGGCTTGGGTTTATGGCATTGGGGTGTAGGGTATTTGGCTTCAGCCTTAAGCATGCCGGGAGCCGTGGCAGGCGAACGTGAGGCCGGTGCAAGCGCAGGAGGAGCAGAGGTTGGATGAGATCGAGGGCCAGGCAGGGATTGCCTTCTTCTGTCAGGGCTTCGGCTCCTTTGCAAAACCATGAGATAGGGCGTGGAGGGACAGAGACAGGGATTTTGTTATCTACTATAGGGATATTGAACTTCAGATGTTGTTGCTGTGTTCCACATTCCGATTCCACACTCCAGACAGTAGTGCCATGGTATACAGGCTTCTTAGAAGCCCGAGTATCGGTAGGACATGAATCCCAAGCTTTACGGCCCACAAACTGCGGGCCTGAGCTGCGAAGGCTGACTTTTGGTGCAGCTGCTTTGCTTCTTCTTCTTCAGCCAACGGTGCCTCCGACTCTTTGCATCTCGGTGAGAAAAAATGAAAAGCCGAAGCGCAGAAGATGAACTTCTGCACTGAAGTTGCTGAAGCTGGTTAGATTTGACTCAGCCCCGCGGGAAAGGGCCAGTCGCGATGGTCAGTCGATCCCGAAAGCACAGAGTTTTGAGGGTCTACGACTTCTCTTAACTCCTCCGTACCGGTCAGAGGATCGGCTCGGCCGGAGGTGGGGCCAGAGGCGCTTTAAGTTCCGGCCTTGGGGTATGGGAGTAGGTACTGCAGTAAGTTATGACTTAGAAGGGCAGTCATCAAGATGTCAGCTCTTTTCCAAAACAAATGTTGCATATTAGCACCTGCTCTATTCACCGCCCATTACCTTGAACCCCACCGGCCCAAGCTTGAACTCAACTTCCCCATTCACGAAACACACTGCGACTTTACAGTGTTAACCCCACCCCCTGAATGGCCTTCAAGGTTGGCACAGGGACAAGTGGAAGGCCTGCTGGATGTGCGCGATGATGGGCAGCAAATAAGTCGGAGTTGGATTTCCCGTTTTTGCAGCACGGATTTTCGTGTGACTCTGAACTTAGGTTTTAGCAGCAGTTGCTGAAGACCAGTGAAATGCATACGTAATCGGACCCACCGCCACCACCATCACCACGCCGACGACTATTGTAGAGCTAAGTGCGTCGGCCCCCAAGGAGAACATCCTGGAAGCCTTCTTCGATTGCACGCCCGTGCCTTGCAGCCTCAAAGTGGCTCATGTGATTGGGTTCTTTGATGAATATGTGTGTGCATCCAGGAATCCATGTCAAAGGTAATTCCACAGGACACACTTGTGCCCATTAAAATCAGTTGGCTGCCAAAGTTTATTTATCGATGCGCCCAGAAAAGCCGCAAGGCCTGTCAAAGCCCGCAGTGTGGGCTCGTCCTTGCGAAGCAGGAGGCAAAGATAACCCTGAGCCCCCGAGTCCTCAGAGTAATCCTGAATCTATAGGGCTCCTATGGTACGCTTATTGTGAGCATGATAGAGACCCGAAATTAAATTACAGAACTACTATAAAAGCGTAGATAATACCACAATTGTTCCCTACAGGGTTCCTGATTATGAGTATACTATAAAGGAGCCCATAACCCTTTTCTAATTATTATTAAGGCCCCTACATGAGCAGCCCAGGAGCGTGTGAGAGAGGTTTTCGCGAGCATTGCGTCTCGTCGCTGGAAAATTCGAAGGTTGTGCAGTCGATTCACTACCTGAACCTACCAAACCCTACTTCCCTGTAGGGTCCCTATAAACTCTGCATATTAGGGTTCATAATGCGAACCTATGAGAAACTAGGGTTTGAGGGTTCAGGGCTCCATTGGGCGTTCACCTTATAGGATTCTAAATATGAACTCCAAAAAGGAACTACTATGGAGCCTTAGGGTACTTATGAAACGATTCTGGTTAGCCTATCAGGCGCAAGGGTTGGAGCGTTTTGCTTTTTCACGTCTACGGTGTAGATGCGCTAGGTATAGTGCACACAAAATCAGTACCGCACGCCAAAGAACAGGTCACGATGTGACAGGAAGTTGGTTTGCCACTACTACGTGAAGCAGCTCGTGCCAGGCATCATCATACATTATTTGTCGCAACCTCGCGAAACCGAATGCAAGACGACGAAAATGTATGAACATGGGGAAAATCACGGCATCAAGGTTGAGAAGGAGCTGCATAGATCCGATGCTTTTTTAGAAGGGACACATAATGTACGATTCGGATGTATGCAGAATTGCATGACGACTGGGCGAGAGCAGCCCCGAGAATTGCACATGTGCATTGCCGAAATCTACTTGTTCGATGATGATCCAAGAGTGCCGCATGCCACTCTAACTTCTGCTCTATGCTTTAGAGCAGAAGCAGATCGCTGACCGTCGGCAGCACTACACAGGTGAGTGCAGAGTACATACATACCTGTAGCTAATTGAACTTGAAAGCATATTACTCGTATGCATGACATGCAGGCATTGTGCTCTGTGCAACATGAGCATATCGTACAGAATCGTAAACCTGTAAACCTCATAACACCCAGATTTGCTGACCCTACTGGCCCTAAGCCAAAACCCACCCGAAACCCCTAAGCTAAACACAGAACCCCCGCCACTCTTCAAACAAGGACTCCGATAGCGACGGGCGCATGTTGACGGTGCAGCTTGACTGCCCAGAAAGTTTCTGGGGTGTAGGCTCACTTGGTGCAGGGCTTTAAGGTTTAGGGGTTCAGGTCTGAGTGCCTGAGACAGCCTGAGCCCTGCGAGTGGTTGCTTAGTCAGCTTGCCTGCAGTGTACCCGGCGATAGAGGCCCGGCCCGAGATGCGTTTGGTGTAGCGTTACTTTTGGTGCAGGTTTGTTATTTGCTGTACAGTAGAGTTCTCCTGGTTCAGCGATTAGGGGTTTGATTATTTTAGGGGTCTGGCGTTTCGCGGTTCGGAGTTTAGGGGTTTGGGGTTTCGGGACGTTCCGGTTTCACGGTGTTGCCGCTACAACCTCGTGGAAACAAGAGTTTCGAGGGCAATGACGCTGTGGTGGGTTTAGGGTGTGGGGTTCCTCGGCGGGTGCTTCGCCAGGTCGGTAGGTGAGGAAAATATCCCGCCTGGTGCGTTTTTGGCGGCTCTTGATGTTGGAAGCTCATCCCAATCCCAAGTTCCTGACATGGGATCCCGTGTCCCCTGAATAAAGAAACCATATCAATTACTATAAATCCCGGTTATGGTAACTTCAACCAAATTCCAGGGGACTTAGAACCCTACTTATAACTTATAAGTATAGTAGCCCTGCTTGTAGCCCTACTTATAACTACCCCTGAACCTCCAAGCAGGCAGCAGCTTCGGCATGGTTTGGAGCGCTGCGGTGTCTCGGGCCTTGCAACTTCGGCCGACAAGAGTACCCAGAGACTCTAATATCCCTTTATAAGGAATAGTCCTTAAATCATATTGGGGATCCTATTATAATGTAAGGTATATTCCTTACTAAGGGTTATTGGAGTCTCTGGGTTTGGATGTGTCAATCAAGTGCTGCCGCTGCAACTGCAACAACAACAAGTACCGCCATCTCTACTATTGCTGCAGCTACTGCTCCTGCTACCGCTACCGCTGCTGCTGCTGCTGCTGCTGCTGCTGCTGCTGCTGTTGCTTCTGCTGCTACTACTACTACTACTACCACCACTGACTCGATGCTTAAACGCATTGATGATATCGTCTCTAAGCTCAGTTAGGAAGTCAGCTCAAAGATAGCTGAGAGTTCAACGGATGCACAAGACATCTCCAGCTTCGTTCGCACCAGACTCATGTCCGCATCACGCCACAAAGCCCAACTCCAATTATTGAGGCCCCTATATCATAGGACTCTATTATTCATCCCTGATAGAACCCGTAAAGGAACCCTCTTCTAATTATTAAGGCCCCAAAAATCAGTGTTCTCAATGCCAAGGATAATGGGACGCTGTCCAAGGTCTTCGAGCGGGTCAGTGGCACCGGAAGGACACGATAAAAGGGAGTTTTTTCGGAGATCAGGGCCCTTCCATGAGGGGGTGGTTTAGGGGTTTAGGGTATAGGCTTTAGGGTTCGAAGTGTAGGGTTGACCTGGACCCCAAAAGCATGCAGAATAGTCACCTTTTGTAGGTTTTGGGCCATTATTTTACCTACTTCTGGGGGTTTGGGCACAAACTTAGCAGAGTTATCGTACCATCCGGTGTTGAAAATGTCAGCGCTCAAGTTTTCAGTTTAGCTGCTTCCGAGATCTGGTCTTCCAGTATCTTTAGCCTCTATGCGATGTAGGGGTTTATGTTTGGAATTTAGGAACTTGGAGAGTGTGCATAGGGTTCACTAGTGGGGCCCAAGCCCAAAACCTACTTGAGACACAAGGCCGTGATGCACTCAGGCGTGCATCTGATGTCACCTGTTTAGAAGTACAGTAGAAGCCAGAAAGTTGGAACATGGCCTTCGAAGGATTAGTGCTAGGATGGTTTATACCATACCTTAAATGTTCCAACTTTCTGGAGTCTACTATATAAGAGGAGTAGACCACAGACAGCTGGGGGTGCAGGACTCTCCACCTCCAGGCATTCGAGACTATCCTGTGCGACTTTGGCAATGCTTGGAGGGCCTGTTTAGGCTTTGGGGTCGGGGTTAAGGGGTATGGTTTAGGCCTGATGACTTCATGCAGGGCGTAGAGTGAGCTGGGCTTTCCGTGCTTAGGCTGTACAATAGGAGTTTAAGGCCTAAATCATTACCAATTACTATTTCGGGGGGTTTCCTTATAGTATAATGGGCCCCGAAACGCTATTCTAATCATTAAGGCCCCTACAGCAGGTCCGCTCAGTCTCAAGGCAGCAGCAAGTGTGATGTTGACATGTTCAACCCCTGAACTATTGGACCAACTGGAAGAACAAAGCGCAAATCCAAAGTCTACAACCCAGGCATATAATGCGTTCCTGGCTTCTACACTGGATATCAACTTAGCAAACAATACTAGGCATGAGTGAACTACCATGGAATCGAGTACTCCTTGCGAGATCCCTAGAGCCCGCATCCCAGCGTTCGTCCTCAAATCCAGCCCCTACACCCCAGACCTTACCGTCTAAAGCCTCAGGATAGACAACACGAGAAATCTTAAACCCTAAACTTCGTGATATCTCATCATCTTGAACCCCTTCGCCCCACCCCCTACTATGTGGAGCCTTGCCTGCCTTGTGCGAGTGTGAGCGTCGAAATCCTGCACCCTCAAACCCTGCGGCCCCCACGCCCGAAACCCCTAGACCCTTAAGCCTAAACCCTCGTCTGGATGCGTCCGAGTTGCGAGAGCGTAAGCCTAAACCCTTAGCCCGAAACCAAAAAACCCTTAAACCCCTAAACCCTCAAACCCTAGGCCCTTAAACCCTTAAACTCTAAGCCCTCAACCCTAAAAGGTAAAAAATTCCCTATGCCCCCCAAAGCAAAGCCACCTTCACAAGGCCGCCTGCGTCTCGCGAGCCTCCTGGCGCGGCCTTGGCGCGCCAACCTTTCGGTGGCTTCGGGTGCTTTTAATTTTAAAACGGGGGCCGGGGAGGGTTTGGGTTTGGGGTTTTTCGAAAAAAGGATGGAGGGTTTCGTTTTTTTTTTTGGGGGTGACTTCTGTTTAAAGCTGCGTGTGGTTACAAAGGTTCAGAGCATGGAACCTGACTTGTCATGTGGATTATAGGGCCGGGGAGTGAAGCTCTTGCAGCTGGGGGACTGTGCATATCTGGTCGTGCCCAACAACTTTTCAATTTGCTTTGTTGTTTAAGGGGCTCTATTTGTGAGGATTGCTTCAAGGTTCAGGTCCACGGATTTCACCTTTGTCCTGTTCTTTCATTGTCGTCGCCTGGTACCGGCTCAGGTTCATGGCTCAACGTCCAGGTTTGGGAAATACTTAAACAGTTATACGGTTGTGCATCAGTGCTCTTCCACAACGAAAAAGATCCTTTGGCCGCTGTGGAAAGGCGGATTGCGGATGATGTTACTCTCATGCTACTGCACACATGCTGTGGCACCTGAGGGCTCAAAGGAAGGGCCCTTTGCGGTGGTGATGAACGATGAACCCTTTCATACCCTTGGCTGAACTAATCAGTCTCGCAGAGAGCTCACCCAGGTGGTGGATTACAGCTGTTCCAAAGCTACGGACCAGTGCGCTTGGCGGCATGCTAGGGTTCTCAGTTCGGGTCCGTATTTCCTCGTGATCCTTCTAAGTGAGACATTCCTTCGGAGATTCCAAGAGGGATAATCGGAATTCGGAGAGCTACCCAAGAAATTGAAGGTACATCGACGCGAATAACATGCGCAGCTTCTTCTTCGGCCATCGACCTGGTGCCAGAGGGCCACAGGCCTTTGTATGAGCTGAAATCTGGTGGGCTTCCAGGTTTTTTGATTCCTGGGCTCAGGGCTCTACGGTTTGGAGGTTTAGGGTTGGAGTGTCATGGTTCAGGCTCCAGGGCCCTTTTTTGCGACTTCGGGGGCTGCTGCTACTGTAACGGCCGGAAGCTGTAGCTTCTTTTATCAACTTCGGTTTGTTGCGATCACAAGGGTCTTTGTTCTAGGCTATCGAGGACACCTGCTTGAAATTACTTGAGCCCCGGGGACTTGTATGCGGTTCTATTTATAGTATGTAGTCTTCGCGGTGCGACTCAGCGTACTTTTCGGGTTGCGTAGCTCGATCTTGCCAAGCAAACAACAGCCCCCCACCCCTCGCCAGGATGCCTGGCCGGTCCGCTGGGTGCACATGTGACGCGGCTGAAGGGCGGGAAATTTAGGGTTTAGGGTTTAGAGTTTAGGGTTTAGGCAGGTTTTGGGTCGAGGTGTCGGTTTATTATTTTTAGGTCTCGCGCCCGGCTGGGTTACTAAACTTGAAGTTCCCTTAAAGATCCCTTAAGGGTGTAATTTTTATCCTGAGCCTTAACCCACCAAAAAATGTCCGGGGCATTGAGACCCGAGGCCACAATTCGACCTGCACCTCCTCCTGGCACTGACTGTGAAGTACAGCCTGCATCCGTTGAGCGTGGAGGTGGGGATTTAGAGGCCTTGATAATGATAGAATAGGGTTTAGGGGTATATGGGTTTAGAGGCCTTGATCATTAGAAGTGGGTTTAGGGGTATATTTTAAGGAACCCCAAAGCCGTATTCTAATTATTAAGGCCTCTACAGTAGGGGTTGAAGGCTTCAGGGCTTGAGGGCTTTGAGCGTTTGAGTGAACGTCACCCGTGGGGACAGGGCCAAGGCGCCAGGGAAAAAAATGATCCTAAGCCATAATATTATATAGGGGCCCACAAATAATTACAAAGACGATTTTGGGGGTTCCGTATTGTAGTTATACTATAATGGGCCCCAAAACCCTATTCTAATTATTCAGGCCCCTATATTACAGGACGGCCTGGGAGGGTTCTTCCCTGAGGATGTCATCGAGCAGTGTCCGACCAAGATCGACCGCCTGGGGGCGAACTACTTCCTGGCCATTGAGCTGCTGACCTTGGTGGACAACGGCCAGGGGCCAAAGGCGAGGGAAGGTTTGGGTTGAGAGTTCGCTTGGGTGGGCAGTGGTTTATAATGGAGATAAAGAGTTAGGTGGCTACGGGTAGTTTGGGTGTGCTGTCAGCGAAATGCTGGGGTTCGAACTTGTCCACCAACAGTGTCAACCTGGACTGGAAACTTCGTCGGAGCCTATAAAGTTCCTAAAGCTTGGAGCTAAATCCAAAAGACCGCCCCAAGACGAATCCCTGAACCGACATTTTGAAGTTTAGGTTTAGGTCTATAGGGTTTAGTGAGTTTAGTGTTCAGGGCAAAGCCTTCAATCCGAAACTCCACATGGGAGTTTCCGAAAATTAGGGGTGCCGCATTTTGGGGTCCTTATTATAAGGATCCTGCTATTTAGGGTGCTATATTAGGGTCCCCTCTTTTCGGAAACTCCCACATCGCCGAAATTCTGAACCCAAGGCCCAAACTGCCAACTTGGAAACCGGAACTCGCCCAATCCCCTAAGCTCTTGCAAAGTACTAGTTCCTCAGCTTAGTTCGATGCTGAAAGTTTGAGGGTTCTAATAGTTCGGTCGTTATATATACCTAGTATAGCGCTGAAGGTTTGGCCTTGTGTTGCGTCGGGTGTTGGGGGAAATAAGTGAAAGCCGAGCGCAAAATTGAGGTTAAAGGGTTTCAGGGTTTGGGGGTGCAGTGTGGGTTTTTTGGTTTTGGGGTTGGGAAGGTACATTTTAGCAATTCCAGGTTGCAGTTGTGCTTTGGGCTTAGGGTTTAATGTAGGAGCCCGATGAAGAAATCCTGGGCCTTTAGGGTTTCGTAATCAGGTTCCTACATTATTATAGTACCCTTATAGATCCCTCTAGTAACCCTTATAGACCCCTTGAAAGGAACCCCGAATAATAAAGGCCCAAGGCTTCTTAATCAGGTTCCTACATTAGGGCAGCAGCGCCAGGGCCAGCAGCCCGTTCGGGTGCGGGGCCAGCATGTCGCGGCGTTCTGCTCGGGCCCTCCCCGCTTGGACACGCCGCTAGGTTCTGGAGTACTATATTCTATACTTTAGTACAGTTTTGAAACCTTTTCCTTAAAGGGGCCATATGAAAGTGGGTTCTGGAGTACGATCTACTATACTTTACTACAGTTTTGGAACCTTTTTCCTTAAAAGGGCCATTATGAAACTTCGAAGCCCAGGCTCATCACCGTGACGCAGACGGATCGCAAGTTCAGCGAAGACTGGCCACTGGACTGTGTGCAGGAAGCTTTCTCGTTTTCGTCAATGTTCATTTCATATCATCCAGCAACTACAACACAAAGCATCCTACATTTCTACATGCTTCCACAAAATATATACATAATGTGTAGATTTTATAAAGATGGTACTTCAGACGCAAAGCACCAAGCCAAAGGCCCGAAACCTGCAACCGAGGCTGCTTTGCCTGAGAGTCTCCTGCAACACAAAACACCCACTTGTTTAAGGCATTATATTGGGGGGTTCACAAGAGGTTTCTTGGGCGCCCTCCAATTCTAAGATCTGTTAAGACAGTTAAGCAGCTAGTCTAGCAGTTCTAGACCTCGAAGCCAAAAAGATCCCTAAAAACCCTAAACTTCCCTGAACCGTACTAAAGCCCTAAGCCCACAGTCACTGTAGTGTTGTAGAGGTAAGGATCTGTGTTAATCAAAGGCTCCATTGAGTTGTCTTACTCAGCAGACTCCGAACCATATGCCTCGCCTGAATTGTCCGAGTGTGAGCGCCGAAACCCTAAGCCCCTAAACCCCTAAACCAACCCTAAACCCCTAAACCCTAAGCCCCTATACCAACCTTAAACCCCTAAACCAACCCTAAACCCCTGAACCCTGCAAACCCTAAGCCCCTATACCAACCCTAAACCCCCCGAAACCCTGAATTCCAAGAGCCGGACCCAGGCCAGGGGGCCCGGGTGTTGACATGAAGAGCCTTTTCAGCACTAGGGATTATGATTGAAATGTTGCTAAAATTTTCGGTGCTTTCAAGTTGGGCACAGATGATCTACTTATATAAGAATGGCGTAAAGGATCCTTGGGAGAAGATGGTGCCATCCCGCTCTCTTTGTCGCAACGGTTCCTGATGGATGCATTGAGCACGCGAGGCAGCAAGCACTACTCGCAACGGCATAAGACTCTGCCCCCCATACCAGGTAAAGTGCTTCTTAGACTGACTGACCTAAAGTACCCTAAACTGTGACATTTCGGTGCCGTCTTTCCCATAGATTCTGCAGGATTCTGTTGGTTTATCCAAGATGTTGTACTTTTACAGTGCCTCGTGCACTGGGCTATTCCACAGTCAAGGTTCCGGGTCTTTCATACTAGAGCGTGATACCTGGGAGTCCCAGTGGGAAGAGCATCTAACCTGACGTCCGAGTGCTTATAAACTATCGGAGGTTGTACTCTGCGTGCCCCTTGCGATGAAAGATCCTGCCCTGCTCACTATTCCTCACTCATCCTGCCCGCAAGCTGGTCCTGCCCCTGCATATTTCTGCACCCTTTTCACGAGCAATCGTGAAAAGAAGCAGCCTTCCTGGCCCCTTGCATAACCTGCTAGTTCTTTTTCTGCGATACAGAAGCCATAGAAAGAGGCTCTCAGTTAAAGCCGGCCTTGGCCTGGAGCACTGAGTCGCAGACAGAGCCGATACCGTGAAGCCAGAAGGTAGCCCAACCCTCAAAGCCAGAATACCTACAGCACAGAACTCGTTGAAGCTGCACAACAGCCATGTAAAAAATCCGTAGAGCCCGCAGGAACTGTCCCACAACTTTTGGACACGGTTGGCCGGAGAAGCTGCGCCAAAGACTGAAGGCTGGACTCTCCCACACCCTTGAACACTCTGCTTGTCTGATGTCATGAGGATAGTGATAGAGACAGTAACATCAGTAGTGGTAGGGTTTATGTTCATAATCTCAACCAGAGCGACGACGCAAGCTGATTACATGGCTTGTCACAGTGAGGATGATGATGATGATCATCATCATCATCGACACTATGCCCATGCTCATGGTAACTCTCATCGCTATTAGAACTGCTACTTCTTCTGTTATTTTGAATATAACTGCGCAGATGACTGTTATTGTTGTTACAGGCAAACAGACAACAATCAGGCACAATGTTCACATCACAAATAGCAATACTACTACTAGTTTACTAGTAGTAGTACTAGCAAAACTAGCTACAAAAACAGTAGTAATAGTAAGAAGAAGCAGAAGAAGAAGAAGAAGTAAACTGACAGCCCAAGACTGATTCTGAAGGCCACTCGGTCGAGACTCCGAGAAAGGAGGGCCGACTCCCTCCTCTATACAGCAACTCGGTCTCGGGGGTTTAGGGTTTAGGGTTTAGGGGGTGACTTTCGGGTTGTTGTGGGGTTTCATCGGGGGTTGTGTGGCCAGTTTTGGCTCCGAGCCCTGCACCCTAACCGAGACCCTGGCTTTTCGAAGTTTTTCGATGGTTTCTTGAACGGATTTATCGGGGGGGTCTTGTGGTGTAGGGAGTGCAGGTAGGTGGAGGCCCACCACAGAGCTCAAGGAGCAGCGCATCTGATCGAGAGTCTGCCGTTGTTTTCGAAGCTGTAGAGTCTTGAGTCTTGAGACTTTTTCCGTGCAGTAAAAGCTTGTTCGGCGACCTTCATTGGATGTTGCACGCTGATGGGCAGAGAATGCTATTGTAGTAGATATGGAGGCCAAGGAAGCAACAAAAACGGTCGCATCCTTGAATTGGGGTATTATATGACCCTACAGAAGATAAATTCCAGTCGGCCTTAAGCACGAAGTCCTTGTGTTTATGTGTGCTTCGGGGCCCCTAACAACCCTAAAGAAACAGATCATGCCGCCAGCAACGCTGCTATGAAGAAGATACGAACGGTAAAACCACACACACCGAGGTTGTGGACCTTTGCGCGGATGAGCTCGTGACAGTGACACGGGCTTTCTTGGCTCGCCTGAGCTGGTTGGAAGAGGTGCATTGGCTGAGCGCAGAGCAGACTCGGTGAGGTTAGGGTGTTGTGGTGTCATGCCGGTGAAGCCTTAGCTGCTGCTGGGCTTTGGATGGGTCTACATGGGATCATGGGATGAAGAGCTTCACCGTCCGGTTCTTTGTCGGCTTGCAGGTATCCGAAACCCGGTGCGGAGGGTTCGTTTTGCAAGTTCCTCCCAAAACCCCGACAGGCAGACTTAGCAAAGCAGCAATGCATTAGGCCAACAGCTCCTGCAGCCTCAGACCCCACCCTGGATGGCTGGGGATCGGATATGGAGTCGGTTCCAAGCAAGGTTCCTTCGATTGAGATCCTGAACCCAATCTGCCGATCCTTTAAACCCCCGGAGGCTCTTTTGTTCCACGACTGATACAGGCAAAATGACTAGGAAATCCAGGCAAGACGGAGTTCTATCTGAATCCCAAAGCTAATACCCTGCACCCTTGGCCCAGCCAAGACGTAGTGCAACATGATGCCTTCTGTTCCTGCAGCGCAGCAAGTGGAACCTCGTTACTTGAACGCCGTATGTGAGAAGTTCACTGGTAACCCTTTCTGGACTTTTTGTTCAAGCTCAGGTCCCTATGGGTGGCTGTCAAAATTATGGTCCTCCTTGTGGGTACCCTAGATAAAAAAAGGTGCCGTATCATATTATAGGACCCAAAAAGGGGCCGTAATTTTGAGAACCACCCCTGTAGCAAGGTCCTTACCCTCAGGCCCCATAGTAGTTCCTTTCGGGGGTTCATACAGACTCCTGTAAGGTATATAATCCCAAAAAGGAACTACTCTGGGAGCCTTTGTGTATAGAAGAGGGTTTCTGATGCCGGGATCTGGCAGAGGACCTTCGAACTCGAGGCGACGAGAGCCTCCTGGACCTTGGAGAAGCACCTCGATTGAGGAAGCCTACGCTGGAAGCCCCGAGCGCCCTACGGATCCAAAGCCTCCGATGCGCTGCGCCCAAAGCCCTCAAGCCTTGGGCCGTTGTGGTAAAGATCGGAGTTTCGGAGGTTTTACCAATTTGGGGTTACTTTGTGAAGCCCGGTTAAGAACTTCTTCGTTACTAGGACCCAGAGTAGGCCCTTATTCCCTTTTTTGAGGGTTCAGGTTCCCTTATAAGCCCTTTAAACCAAAAAGGACACCCTTTTTATTCCTAGGTTACTCTTGGGTCTAGGTTATGGTTCAATTTTGAAAGTGGGTTTGATCATGTCTTGGGGAGTTGGCGTTCTGGGTCGTCTATGATTAAGGTTCTCGCATGCGTTGTAAACCTGCTTCAGTTTGGACAGTCCTGTTGGAGGAATGTAGGTTGAGAAAGGCTTCGCAAGGAGCTATTGGCAGAAAGACCCTCCCGTTTGCACCATGTTATTTTACTGCGCTATGTTGAGTTTTTTTAAAAGGGGCCGATGATGTAATACCTGTGCGGGACCGAACGCTGGACTCTCGCCTCCCGACCTGTCGGGCAAAACCATGGATGCTTTAAAAGCACTTTCGGTAAGCTTAGATTGAGTTGAGACGTGTATGGTGTGTTGTTACATGTTTGACTCTGGACACCTGTGGATCATCTCGTCTTCCTGTTGCCAAGCTGTGATGTGAGATGGAGATGACTGATGTCTGCATATGCCTTTCCTTTAGTCCAGACAGCTCTTCAAGTACAGAAGTCCGGGCCACCGGGTTTGTCCAATCTTCCGCCAGCTCCGCTCCTCCAGGTAAGCCTTGCGCAGCTTCAACTTGGCATCGTGACGCGCAGGCTGAGGAGCACTCGGGGAGCTGACGAGTGAGTGAACTCACCTTTGGTTAGTAGGGAATGGAAGAATGGCAGTACTAGTAGTTGCTTGTAGAATAGTACCCCATTCCTCCATTCCCTACTAACCAAAGGTAAGGTGAGGGCTAGTTTCCGGCATCGGTCAACCGTGCGATTGCGGTGCCTTTTCGTTTGTCTCATGGCGACATGTTGGTAGCCGAATGCTTCGAATCCTAAATCCGAACCACATGACCCGACAGCATTTATCCTGTTCGGGGAAGCATAAGCCCTGTTCAACTGTAAAAATGAAGCGTTTCCCATGAGAACCCAAGACCCTTGCAGAAGCTTATGCTGAAGGCAGAGTTTCAGCCGTTTCAGAGACCGCTTAGGTTGTCCGGTTGGTCAGACACGGAAACCCCGGAGAAGCTCGCCTGCTCTTGTCCGAGGTGTGAGAGTCAAAAGCACTGAACCCTCAAAGTCCGAAAAACCTGCGACCCCGTTTGATTTGTGAGTTGAGATCTTGAGGTTACGGTCTGGGGTTTCGTGCTTTAATTACGAGTTTTGGCATGTCAGTTTCCAGATTGCCAGATAGTGGTCCTTGTGCTGCTTTTCAGAGATGTCAGATCTCTGCGAAAACAGACATCTCGCAAATCTCCCTGGACCATAATGCTAACACCCGCGCTCTGCAGCGGAGGAGCCTGCAGCGCGTGGTGCGCCGTGCAAGCGAGTATCATGATCTGCACACCACTGGCTCTTCCGATTACTGGAAGGATCCTTAGAATAGGGCTTTGGAGGTATATGATACTATAATAAGGAACCCCCCAAATAGTCTGGTAATTTTTTGGGCCCCTTCGGGTTGCGGGGAGTTGTGCTTTGGGGCTCTCGGGATATCAAAAGCTCCCTCTCAGAGCCTGGGATTTCGAACTGGGGGCAGAGAGCAGGACTGTGCAGACCACTTAGAGGAGGCCTATGACGACGCCGTGCAGATGAAGGAGCCCGGTTTTGTTGTTAATTTCGGTGGAGCGTACGAACCGTTGCAGGACGGGAAGGGTATTCTTAGAGCGGTATGAGGCTGGGGACAATGTCCGGGATGTGGGAAAGGAGAGAATCGTTTCGAGGATATGGCCTTGTGCCACCACAAGCATAGGCAACTCCTGACAGTCACAGAAGACAGTCCAGAATGCCAATGCCTGTACCACCTCAACTGAATCTCGACCTTAGTACTTATTGGCTGTACACTCAACTTTTCAACTTTTGGGGTTCTTATAAGGTAGTCGGTTGTAAAAGTTTCAACTTGCATTTCCTTGGGTTTTGGGCCGGTCAGAGTAGCAGTCCGGCCTCTCACTTCGCAAAGTTGGTCGTAAACACTTGGCGCTGACATGCTGGGACCGGCCTTCGCTGGAACAGCCCGAGGTCTGCATGGGGTGATGTGCAGGTGGCCGTTTCTTCGAGTTGAACATGCGGAGACACCTAAGCCCCTAGCCCGTGTTTTGAAATTTGGGAGTTTCCGAAAATAGGGGACCCTAATGCAGCACCCTAAAATAGTAGGATCCTTATTATAAGGACCCCAAAATAAGGTACCCCCAACTTTAGGAAACTCCCGTTTGATCTCTTCAGTCTGAGCAACTTTATCAGCTGTGAACCTTGGCCCAAAGCCATGCGAAGAGTCCTAAACCCTACACACTCACCCGGCCTTCCCCAAACCCTGATTCCTAAACTCTACCCCGCCCATCCGTACAAGGCGTTTTCTGATAGCAAAGCAGCAGGAGAAAAAAGGTGGGAGTTTCCGAAAATGAGGGACCTTATTTGGGGTTCTTCTAACAAGGATCCTACTATTTAGAGTACTACATTGGGGTCCCCTATATTCGGAAAACCCCAGGTGCTATTACCCTAAACCCTAAACCCTAACGCCCACCGCCCAGAACGCCCGAGCTCGAGGAGCGGTGCGATGCGCTGAAGGCGGCGCACGAGCTCCAGGGCAGAAGTCGGTTTTAGGGGTTCTTGCTAAGGAATGTAACTCAAGTTACCAGAGCAGGGATCTGTAGAAATTAATCAATAGGGTTTCTGAGTTTATTTTTGAGTTACCATACTAGGTATCTATAGTAAACTAGAATTAAACCCCTGGAAAAAGAATCCAGTTTTGGGAGGCCCTTTCCGAACCTATGTGCAGGGGTTCCTTGGAGGCCCTAGGGCTTTGGCTTTTCGGGGAAGGGAGTGCGAGTTTGGTATTTGATGTGCGCGCGTGCGGGTCTGTGTCTGTCTGTGTTTGCGCGTCTGTACACTTCGCGGTTTCCACCATGTCACCCGATCGTCCGTAGACCTGTAAGATTTGACCAGCTTTGCTGATGATGTGGCGTGTAATCTAAAGACACGAAAGTTTTCTGAAGCCTGAGGCTAGATGATATAATTGCCATTCTACTCGTTGGTACTGCCTGGGTGATGCGGAGTATGGACATGCATGACACCCAGTGCAATGTCGCTGGGTCTCGCGTAAGGCTGGTCCCTAACTTTGCTTCCTTGTTTACGCAGTCATCCTTGCCGTTGTGCCGAACTGATGCGAGATCTCATTACTTTCACCCCGCCTGTCTTATGCAGTCGTACCGAGAGACCTCGTCTGGCTTGTCCGAGTTGCGAGAGCGTGGGGCTAGAAAAGCCCATGAAATCCTGTAAACAAGGCCCGCAAGCCCAAAACCGTGATGGCCCCATAGAAATCCCTAAACGAACCTGCTCCCTAAAGTTTCTCAAGCTCCAAAAACCTAATGTTCCTCAAGCCCTACTAACAGGCAAAGGCTAGTAGCACTGCTTATAGGTCTTTGAACGAAAAGCCCCCTGGAGCCCAAGGCCTAAAATCCCAGGCCAACCTCCAAACCCAAACGCGAAAGACCCAAACCCGTAAGCGCCGAGCACCAAAACCCTGAGACCCGAGACCTTAAACCCCTAAACCAACCCTAAACCCCTAAACCCCTAAACCCTGAACCCCTAAACCGCTAAAGCGGCCTTAAACTCTACTCCAAGGCAAACGATGGAGAGAGGGCAGGCTTTGGAGATGCAGGGCCGGCACGATGAAGCAGCCGGACAGGCCACACCTGGGGCGGTGGAGTTGATGTAGGGGTGTGAACAATTAGAATAGGGTTTTGCGGTATATGATATATGATACTATAGTACTAAAAGTATAGTAAGGAACCACCAACATAGTATAAGTAATTATTAAGGCCCCTTTGTTGGGGTGTTAGTTTGGCTTTGGGGCTTTGGGTTTCATTCAGCAAGGGGGATTTAGGGTTTTGTGGGTTTGGCCTTCAACTTCAGGGCGTGCTCTGTCAAGTTTTTCTTCTGAAGGTGGGTTCTCTGAAATAAGGCGGGCTGTGCCTTCGGAATCATTTTAAGACTGTTGTTATCATGGAGACCCCAGGTTTGAGCGCGCCATTTTGTTTTCGAACCAAGAGGGCTTGTAGTTCGAAGCGGAACGAGGCATTTGGTATCCCGATGATGGTGGCTTCTGTTTGGGTTACTCAACAACACCTTGCTTGTGGGCTTTGGTTGAATGAAGTCTAGGTTTGGAGGTTTAGGAAGTTTAGGGTTTAGGGGAGATCGAGGGGGTTTGGGGTTTTGGTCATTGGGATTGCGTTTTGTTTTAAGGCTTGAAGGGGTTGGGGTTCTAAGTTTTGGGGTGCTGGCTTGCGGGTCGATGAGGCGGGTGGTTTGTATTTCCGTCTTCGGGTGTTGGTTGGTTTTGGTTGAATTAAGGGGCTTATCATTTAAGCCTCAAGGATTGACGGTTTGGGTTTCTGACGTTCTGTTTCAGGATCTTTTGGTCATTCGCGTAAGTTGTTGCATTTCTGCCACTGCCATGGTCATCCTTGTTGATACGGTTACGACTCAAGATTTGTGGTACCTGCGACTGAGAACTGGTGTGGCTGCTGCTTCCCTTAAGACAACTGCGCCGACGGCTGCCACTCCTGCTACTGCTGCTGCTACTGTGACTACGATTACCACTACTACCGCTACCACTACCAGTCACTACCACTACCACTACCACTACCACTACCACTACCAATACCAATACCAATACCAATGCCACCACCACCACCACCACCACCACCACCACCACCACCACCACCACCACTACCACTACCACTACCACTACCACCACCACCACCAGCAACAGCACCACAACCACGTCTACGTCTACGAGTTCAACTACGATAATTACTACTCCTACTACTACTACTACTACTACTACTACTACTACTACTACTGCTTCTGCTGCTCTTTCTACTACTACTATTACTACTACAACAACAACAACTACTACTACTACTCCTACTACTCCTACTACTACGACGGCTACTACTACTACTACTACTACTACTACTACTACTACTACTACTACTACTCCTACTACTCCTGCTACTACGACGGCTACTACTACTACTACTACTACTACTACTACTACTACTACTACTACTCCTACTGCTACTCCTACTCCTACTCCTACTCCTACTCCTACTCCTACTCCTGCTGCTACTACTACGACTACTACGACTACTACGACTACTACTACTACTACTACTACAACTGCTGCTACCATTACCACTATCGCTGCTGTTGCCGTTTGTAGTAGTATACAATGCTGTGGCTCTGCTCTACACTTCGATGAGCCTTTCTAGTGTTGTTTCTGCTATCATTCTGCCCCCTGCTATGACCGTTCCAAGAGACGGTAAAGCGCAATCGCAGGCTGAGAAGCTGAACTCCATGCTCTTCTTCCTCACCGCTGCCACGGCGCTTTTCACCCCGGTGCAGTTCATGCTTCTTGTCGGATCTGGCACCGGTTGCTTGTGACCACGGCGACTGCGACTTCGATCGTGGCTGTGGTATCAGAGATTGATACGAGGTTGATGGTCACGTTGATGACGATGATGGTAGTGATGATGACGACTGAGATGGTGGTGGTGGTGGTGGTGGTGATAGCGGCATGGATGATGGCGTGGGGGGGCGGCGCCTGATGCTTTTCATTCGCCGTGTCGGTGATGATGTCAAGGCATCAAAGAACCATGTTTATTTAGGTTTTCTCATGAAAGCCTTGACCATGATTGACCCTTAAGCCGATTGGAGGCTTCAGGGTTGGGTGCCTGGTCCAATGATGGAGATTCACCAGCCAGTCTGGTGACGGTGTTTTTGTCCATGTGTGATGTGAAAAGAATTTCGTCGATGCTTTTGGGTTTTCTCGGTTGCTCTCGCACACTCCTGCACACACAAGGTCCTCCGTCTATGGCATGAACTTCGTGAATGTTGAGGGCGTCCCCACCATTCCGATGCTCTTAGAGAAAAGCGGCTACGAGCGTTTTTGGATCGGGGTCACGGCCTACTTCGCCCTGGCCTTTGCCTGCGCTGGCTGGCTCTACCGGCGTTTGCAGCGAAAGTCTGGAAAGCAGATGAGGAGAAAGGCGGCACCACTGCCGGCTTGCTGTTGCTGCTGCCCCCGGTGAGCTGCGTGCGCTCGGAACCTGAACATTTCGTAGTTCGCAGCAGAGTCCTTTTATCCTGTGTATGACGCGCGCTTCGAAGGTACGCTGTAACTTTGGTCCTTTCAGGTTCCACATTGAGGAGGCTTTTGCACAAATCAAACGTCGAGCCTCATTTCGCTGTGGGGGGCTCCCCATGGGAGTTTCTACGCATCTTGTACAGGTTGCGACGATGCGCGCGGCTGGATTTTAGTAACTCTTGATGCCTCGCGATCTTAAGATCTGGGGCCAGCTTTAGACTGTGCAAGCATTTTCCCGCCAGAAAATCTCAGAGGGCGTCTACAAATGCCAGCTTTGCAGAGAGAGTGCATTACCTCAGCCAAACCCAGCAAAAGCGACCGTTCAATCAGGTCTACCTGTAGCTTGCGACATGTGGCGATAGTTTCGGTAGGTGTTTGCTGTCGACTCTCGGCCTTTTCTCTCAAACATTTTTGGTCTCGAACCTTGTTCTTGCATTTTGTTTGCTGTCGAACCCTGCCCCCCCCCCTTCCCTCAATCATTTTGTCTCGACCCTTGCTCTGGCTTGTGGTGACGTAGTGAGTGTACCAGTTACGGAGCACTCCACACCTCGAGGGGTGACCCTGGGCTCTGAATCATCGACAGGCGATGGCAGCACAGATGGCAGCGGCTTCTACAGCTTCGCATCGTCAAAGGATCGCTTGAGAGTTGATACTTGTATAGAGTTTGCAGTTCGGGGTATGGGTCAGAGGTTGCAGGGTTGCAGGAGGCTGCAGGAGCACTGGGTTTCAGATTTTTTGAGGCTAGTGTTTATAGTTTGTTTGTGTTTCGGGAAGCTTAAACCTTAACTCGTAAACCGAAACTGAAACCCACCCTGACCTGGACCCGCTCTGAAAGTTGGGGCGGGGTACTTCGTCAGATCCATAAGGATGAGGCGACAGTTGCAGGACTTGCTCTGGGTGGTACCGAGCCGATGAGTCAAAAGGGGCAATCGAGGTGACTCTTGAGCTGGGTGCATCGGAATAGGACGGTTGAGGTTGAGACAGTTACAAAATGCTGGGGCTCATTTAAGCCCCTACTTGGAGGTCGATGGGTAGTTATAAGTAGGGTCGGTTATAAGTAGGGTAACTATACTTATAACCCATATTGGGGGACTTCTAGCCCCACTTATAGCTACCCTTAACCCTAAACCCCAACGAACCCTTGAAGGAACCCTAAACACCCCTGCTTATAACTACCCCTGAACCTCCAACTAGGCCTTAAGCCTTGGAGGCCTAAACCTTGCACTCCCTACGCCCGGGGAGGCCATGGTCTCTTCGACAGTGCAGAAGCCTTTGCCCGGCCCAGAGCGGGAGGCCAGCACTACTAATTACTTCGTAGTTGAGTGGATACACTTTACAATTTTTTGGATAATATTACCCACTATAAAACTGAAAATGTACACTTTCGGGGGCTTATGAACTCAGAAACTAGGACTATGGTTCTCACCATCATTCTCATCATTGTTACTATTGTTATTACTGACATATCTATTGCGATTTTTCTCGTTACTCTGATTGCGGTCACTAGGACTCTTATTGTTATCATTATCCTAACTTTCACTGCCGACTTCCCCAGCGCCGGATGTAAGAGAGCGATGTGGGAGTTTCCGAACATAGGGGACCCCCCTATCAGGATCCGATTCACTGGTTTACCTGGGGGTACCCCTCTCCCATAAGTGCACCCCATTAGGTCACCTTGGCATCTCCCTTGCTAAGGTCTCTTCTTCCTTTTTTGGTTTGCGGAGACTTTTCGATCATCCTAGTACCCCTATTGCCACCAAACTCGAGCTTTTTCGTAGTTACCTCACCTCGAAATGGTCCTGGTGTGCCCCTGTAGCTTGGCCGTCTCAGCGAGCACTACGTAGCATTGATGCGTTTAAACATACCCTTCTGTTGTCTCTTCTACGCATCGATTTTGACCCCCTCCTCCCTTTCCTCGAGAACACCCTAAGTAGGAGGCGCTCAGTTAAAATCATTTGCCAGGATCACGGCTCGGAATCTTGGTCTAGGTTGTGGTTGATTCGTATTTGGTCCTTTTGGGGTCATATTTTCCGCACAACCCATGATTTGCCACTCCAGCAGGTTTTGCGCACGTGCAACACCAGTCTTGTCGGTAGACCCCAGTTACCCAAGAGTATTGTACTTGACTGTTTCCCCCGCAAACTACAGAAGGCGTGGACCAACTTTCGCAACAGATCCCCGTTTTATGCTGTCGAAGCCCTTGCTTTGGACAGATTAGCCTGGCAAGCTGCATGTCAGCCCTGGTTAGCCTATTGGGGTCGAGCTGAAGGTTACGAACTCTCTCAGGATGTTTGTCTCCATGACCGTCAGCTTCTGTTGGTTGGAAATGAGCTGGCAATCTTGCGCCCTGCTAGGCTGTTCCCTGAATTACCCTATGGACGTCAGGTACAGAAACTTCTCGTCGGTCAACCGTCGCGATCTTCCTGGTTTGTGTGGTCGCAGTTTGACAATGCAGCCGTTTCCCTTATTGTTGTCCCGCCTTATCAATCCTCCCGACAACAGATTCTGCTGCAGGGCAGTAGCCCTGAAGATCTTCTTGATAGAAGGCTTCTCCTTTGGGATATGATTCTCAAGCTTTACGCTGCATTACCCGAGCTTCTTGACTCCAGATGTAACTTCTTTGTTCCTGTGTTAGCTTTTGGTTCCCATATTTGGGCCCATCGAGTGCCCCTTCGTAAACTTGCTGAGGTCCAGAGGTTAGAGAGACTCGAAACCGCCATTGACCTTCTGCATTTGTGCCTCCTGCAGCCTCCCAAACCTCCACCTTGGATCCATACGACCCTACTTTCTGTATCCGGACCCTTCCCACATCCTTTCAGGTTCCTAGTTCGCACGTCTGACTTTAGGAATGCCCGCTTCTTCTCTAATCTTCAGGACATTGTGCATGTCGGAACCTGACTCACTCCGGAACATACAACATGCATACTTTGCTTTGTTTGGAGCAGGGGGGGGGGGCAGGGCGGACATTAAAACCTTCCAGCTCTTTGCCGCCGCAGCAACTGCCACGCCGAGATCAGAGTTTTCCGTAGTTTTGCTTCGCCGCCATGGCAAATGTTACTATGGGACACATGTTCGCGACTGAGTCAGCCTGGTGGATGCCTAGCGACCAAGTCAAGACAGTGGTCTACACGGTGATTCTGGTCTTTGCTGCTCAGGGTTTCCTGTCAATGTGGAGGACTCCCGAACGACGGAGGCCTGTTTCGCAGCAGGAGCATCCCTGCGCCCTGCCGGAGGAGGACTCGACAGTGGACAGTGCCCCCAAATCAGGGGTTGACAAGACTACGATCGTCGAGTCGCCCAAGAGCGACGCTGCACCGGCTGCGCCGAGAGTTCCCAAGGGGACACCAAACTCAACTCCTGCTGACAGCACTTCAGGTGATGGTGGAACAGCACCGAGCGCGACCTCTACAGACTCCGCAGACCCCAAGCAGGCTCCAACTACTACCACGCCGGATGATGCGGTGCCGAAAGGAGGCCAGATATCCACCACGGCTACACCCAAGTCACTGGGGCCTGCCACACCGGCGACTGTGACCCCCAGCAAGGCGGCTTCGGCCCCACCGATCACGGCACAGCAGCTCATGGCAGCCATGAGCACGATGCACGGCGATGTCAAGATGTCCCATGTGGACCTGAAAGGGCTCATTGCCACGGTCAGCGAGCTCAAATCGTCTATCGGGGCTCTGCATGACATCCCTGCCCGGGTGGCGTCGATCGAGAAGATCCTTGGCGCCTTGGCTGGAAAGCTTGGACCTATGGCGGCCAACACGGACAGTACCCAGAAAGCCGTTGATGTTGGCTTCAAGGAGAACGTAAAGCTTCTCAGCTCGATCTCCTCGAATGTCCGCGGACATCGCGAAGACGCCCAGCAGGAGGCCAAGGACTTCCATGCCGAGCAGGGACAATGGCTTAACAGCACGGAAGCAAAGCTGGTGGACGGCATCAAGGAGGTGCTCAAGAAGATCACCAACACTGACTTCAACTCCTCTCAGGTCTACAACCAGAAACTCGAGGGGATCGCCTCGGAAATACTGGCGGCCTTGAACTTCACCCAGGGTGAGGTCGCGGACTTGAAGCAGTCGCTTGCTTCCACCAGTGAGGAGGTGCACAGCATCAAGGAGATGTGCGAAAGGCCTGTGTTGGCACACAACCCGCCGACCTACAGGGCCCCAACGTTCCACTCCCACCAAGACATCCCGCCGGCGCCTCACTACGATGCTCGCCAACGCGTGAATCTACAGCAAGCGCTGCCTCTTGGTAGCTCTGAAGGGATTACCGTGAATCCCGACGGTCGCAGCCTCAACATTCCGCTGCGTTAGTCGGCTAGTCAGAGACATCAGCAAGTTGATTTTCCTGCCTGAGGTCAAAACTTTCCATACTTTTGCTTACTCTAGTCCGTGTTGTAAATGTATACTAGTTCGATCTTCTTGCATGACCTTTTGCTGGACTGTCTCCACTTGCTGCATGCCCTTGCTGTTGAATTCATGCTGGACTGTGTTCCTTTCCTTGCCGGACTGCCTTTTCTGCATTAATTCGTTGCATTCTGCGATCTTGGATATGGCCAGCCTTACGGCTGGACCATAATGTTGACGCCTGACAGCAACATGTATGCAAGCACCTTCGGAACTGCTTCTGTGCAAGATGCCGGCCTTAATGCAGATGTGCCCTCCTACAAAACCCAGGAGCACGACCAGAGCAGCACACCTGTTGGATGCAAAACATGGGTCGCTGCTTCTTGCGCACGCGCACTTTCGCAACCTTTTCATTTGCCCTGTCCTGATTTCGGAAGAACTCTGTAGTATCCTGGCTCAGAGCGACCTCACGATGTGGCCACCCGGTAAACTAGCACTCTCCCCTCCAGTCCCGATCTGTATCCCCGACTCGCCTAGGACCCGATGTGCTTCGCAGGTGTTTGATCTTGATGATACATTGTCATTGTCATCAACGCAGATAGATACAGACCTTGTTAGCCAGGATGACTCGCAGCATACTGGTAGTGGGGTCCCCGAGCAAGGCTCCCTCCATACTATTCGGAAAGACGACCTACACACGCCTCGTCGTAGCTCCTCTGAACCCTGGTACCTTGCTTGTCACGATTTCCACCCAAGTCCTTTGCTTCGACCCTTGGAAATTCGGGCATACAAACTCCTCATGGCCCCCCAGTATCCTAGCAAGCAGGATGTCCTGGATCTTTTCTGCATGATGCCCAGATCCCACCTCAAAACCACACCTGCAGGATGCCACCTAGTCAGTGGAGCCTCTCCCCGATGGGGTCTCTCGCACCTTGGCTGCATGCTACTGCGAATTCGTGCCTTTATGACACTATGCTGGACTGCTTTTTGGCCTCTGCTGGACTGTTTACCTTGCTGCCCGTACTGATGCATGCCCTTACTGTCCTTGCCTCTTTGCCTCCTGGTGATGCTGATACGATGACGTTAGTGCCCGTGGTCACGTCCGTCGGTCGGTCCTGAACCCCTATAACTCCTGTTAACATTGCACCTCTAGATCCAGTACTTCCCTTTGAGCTAGGTCCTTTTAGGCAAACCACGAACCCGCGCCTCTGCGGTCTGCCATGGATCTCGTTCTGGTGCGACTGCTACACTGCTACATATGTGGGGCCCCTCCCACAAAGCTGATCCCTGCGTCAACGCGGCTTCTAGCTCGTCCTCTGACCTGGCTGCCCCTGGAGACTGCATACCGCCAATTCGCACTCTGAGACTCGGCAGGAGTGTACATTTTGATGTCGGGCTCTACGAACAACTCGCGGATGTAATCATCTACAGGATCCACCTTTTCTGCATGACCCTCGATGTTCTCTGGGCTAGTACAAGGCAAGCTGACTGGTGCATGGTCTGCAACCGCACAGTGGATGCGACTTTGAGAGAAGAATGTCTCCTGCCGGATTCGAGTCACCCGATATGTGCCGGGGAATGGAGACTTTTTGCTTCCCTTGAGTCTGGCCTTGGACCCCACTAGAGTGGGCTCCTTTCCCGCTCCACTACTGCATGCTGCTTCCCACTATGCTGCCTTTGTCGGATGGCGTCGCCTGAATCGAGAATGAACAGTACCCCGAAGTGAGCGCTACAAGACTGCCCTCGCCGGATATACGACCACTCTCCTGCCTTTTGTCGGATGGCTGCCTGAATCGAGAATGCGCGGTACCCCAAAGTGTGCGCTACCAGGCTGCCTCCGCCAGATATACGAGGTCACGAGTACAGTCAGCTGATAGTCAGTACCAGCAAGTCAGTACCAGCACATGCACGTCCTGAAGTGAGCTCTGAGGTGAGTTACGCGGGTACCGTCGTTTATAGTTCTTTTGCATGCCTGTCCAGACACACATGTAGTTTCCGGAAATCGCCTAAATTCTGCATTTTCGCTGGTTTCACGATCCAGTTGTATAGGTTTCATGTGTATACCGCACTCCCTTTGCCTTGTATTTTGAACCTTTCCTGTACTCTAGTTTTGGGGCTCCCAGGCATTTCGTCCTCTGTGGCACTACCTTTGGTTTCGGCTGTATTCTACTTCGGGGATGCCTGGTGTGCCTCCCTCCTCCAATGCGGGGAGTCTTCTCTCAGCCCGCCCGATAGCTGGTCCTACATGGCCTTACTTTCTGTTGAGCTGTTGTTCTTTCGGCTGTCGGGTGAGCCTTCTAGTCTTTCCTTCTGCCGACTTAGCACCAAGAACCTCGTCTGGCTTGTCCGAGTTGCGAGAGCGTAATATAGTACCCTCAACGATAGGATACTAATTGTAAGGACCCCAAAGTAAGGTGGCCCCTATTTATCGGCAACTCCCATGTGAGTGGTTCAGGGTTCTGGAAACCCAATAGCCTCAATCCTTAAGCCTAGTAGTAGAGTAGGTAACCTTGAACCTTTCTTGGGTAGGTGGAGTTATTTAAATTGACATTAATGCATTGAGGGGGTATCTTTCTTGCTCTTCGCTATGAGGCGGCACGCAAGTAGAGCCACTTATTACCGAAGTTGGCGCTAGGAAAACCGCTAGATTCGCGCTAGGCAGGAATCGAACCGCATGATGTCGTATGCTCAAGGTTTTACCAAAGCGCCCCAAACCGGCAGGATCCGTAATGAAAACCTATAGTAGAAGCCAGAAAGTTGGAACATCATTCTCCTCATGCCATTAAGGTAAACTATAAGGGATCCTAGCACCAATCCTTCTAGAGCTATGTTCCAACTTTCTGGGTTCTACTATAAAGCCATGCATCTTCAAAACCCCAAGATTTCCGGAGCTGAATAGCACTCGTTGTTGTCGTAACAAGAGTACTCGTAGGTGTCTTCAGGAGTTCTCTGCCTCGCTGCCTCTGTGCCGCCTCATCCGAGCTTGCAGCGAGGTCATTTTTCAGGCATTTGTAAGAGAGGCCAGTGCGCTAGATCCGCGCTAGGTGGGCGCTAGCAAAAATTCAACGCAACCTGCCTTGGAAGACCCGGGCCCATTCAAGCTCGTCGGATTGCAGTTGCCGGGCGCCTCCATTCCGACTTACAGCGTAACTTTCGAGTAACTTTCGCGTAACTTGCTCGTAACTCGTGCGCGCCGGGGGTTGCTCATTTATGCCGAGATCCGCAGTGGTGACTTCTCAGGGAGGCCTACGTTAGGCCCGTTAGGCCATCATTTCCTTCCCGTCATCCTCCCTACATTGAATACAAGGGGCCTGGTTCGCACTCAGGAAAAATAGGGTTGTTGAGCCACCGTGGATTCCACGGTGTTTGTAACAGCCACCCTGCTTTCCACGGGGGTCAGAAGTCAAGGGCAAGCAACACGTTACTGTCGAACCCGCGCCATGCTCGCAACAGCAGCGGGACATCTTGCATTCCCGCCAAGAGTCCAGTAGCAGCAGCAGTAGCAGCAGCAGCGACAGTTCTTCGGACAGCAGCTGCTGAAAAGCCTGCGCGCTAGTACCCTTCTTAAGAATCCACGCATGCATTCCCAAACTCCTGCGTTTGCTGGTATGTATCTGTAAGCCAGGTTTTCTTTTGCCACATGAAGCGGCACGCAACTACAGCCACATTAACGTCAGTTTCGGGAATAAGCATTTTGACAACAACCCATATATCATAGGGATCCTTAGGGGTGTAGGGGGAGGGGGGGTAGGGGGCCTTAAGGCCCATAATAAGGACTAATAAGGCCTATTTAAGGAAATATAGTCCCCTACACCCCTCCCCCCTACACCCCTAAGGATCCCATGATATATACCCGCAAAGGTTAACCTTGAGTTTCTCCGACAAGTAGGTAAGAGTAATGTGTAAGGAATCCCGGCACTATTTGGCCTTAACCCGGTTTCCAACTTAACGGGGGTTTACTGCGCGGCTTGAGAGTTGAGGGTTCAGGCTTTTGCTGGCTTTGAAGTACAGAGTTTCGATAAGGGTTCAAGAAGGGTTGTTCTCTAAATTAGTGTCTCCTTTAAGTGTTCCTTTCAGGGAACTTTTAGGGTTTGTATGTTTCAGGGGCTTCCGGGTTTTGGAGCTTTTCGTCTAGGGATGGTTTGGGGGGTTTAGGCTTTTCCGTTTGACCACTGACCGCCGCCGTTGCCACTGCTGCCGTCACCACCACCACAGCCATCAGCACCAGAACCAACTCATTCATCGCAGTACCGGTTTTGCCAGATTCAGTACTATGTCGGGTCGCATCGTGTCGGAACCCCTAAACCTTTCAGGATGAATGGTCAAGCAATGCAGCCGCCACATTTCCAGGTGCTGCCCATAGATGAGCACCGCGACGAAATCGTGCGCACCATTCGGGAGTGCTGCCCCGAGGTACAGTCCGGGAGGTCTTTGGACACTGCCGAGGTTTCCAGGTTACGAAGGTTGCAAGGAAGCAATTAAACACACCCCGGCTAACAATGAGCCGTAGGCCATAGGATGCCCGCACTGCAGCAGTGAAACCCTCTTGTCATCCTTCCCCGTGGCCACGGCCAAACCGTACGTTGCCATGCAAAACACGCTTTGCACGCTGAGGCGCCGCGTCACTTGCATCCAGGGCGAGACGGGCTGCGGAAAAAGCAGCCGCGTGCCGCAGTATGTCCGAAACCCAGATGTAGGAACCGAATGCCTCAAGCCTAAATCCTGAGTCCTGAACTCCCGGACCCTCTACGGTAGATCCGGAACGCACGCCTTAAATCCGAAATCCCATGATCCCAAATCCGATATCCCAAAGTCCCACCATCGCCCGTGAATCTCACGGATCTGGTCGGCCCTGCCCGGGCCCCTTTCAGTGGTTTACAGTATTTGTTGAGAAGGGCCGGGTTGCGGTGTTAGGGTTTGGGGTATTGAGTGTCTTCCCAATTTTTTGTGTATTTCTCATTATTTCCAAAAATGCAATGACCGTGTGTAAACACATGTGCCATTGGCTTGTCTACGTCCGTCGCTGAACTCCAAAGCGTGAGTACACCTGATATTGTACAGTTTGCCGGATTGTGAAGCCATGATCTTACCCTGCATCGTAGGTTCGTCCTAGCCAGGCGGGAGGCAAAAAAAAATGCAATTATTGTGGATGTTCTTCTCTTTGTCGTCCTGCTTGCGTTGAACTACACATTGCATCCGTGTCTACCGCGTTCTACGTCTCGCCATTATTTTTCGTGGTTTCTTGTCGCCGTTCTTGGAACTTAATTTCTATGACCTCAGCATTGGAGTCTTCCCATCGGTACTACTGCGTAGGGCCTGGGCCATGAATGAACGAGCCAACGATTAAGATCGAAATCCCCTAACCTAAAAGAGACTCTAGTAAGAGACTCTCAACTTAACCGTGCAACCGCACCCCAACACTGGCCTGAACTCCAAAATTTCCGAAGCCTGGCCTAGTCTAGTTGGACCTATACCGCCCGAATCTGTCCCTGCCTGTGCAAGTGTGAGAGTTGAAAAATTCGGAGCCAGCCCAGAGCACTGCTTAAGGTAGGGCTTGAGGTTTTGGGTTGAAAAAAAGGGGCCTAAATAATTACCAATAGTATTGTAAGGGTTCCTTACTATAACTATAGTATAATGCCCCCCAGAAGCCTTTTGTAATTATCAAGGCCCCTATATTAGGGGTTCCCCAGGCCCCAATCTCTGCTAACTAACTGGCTTGAATCCAGCCTGCCCCACTCCCGATTATTCAACACATGAAGGCACCTGCAAATTCCGACAATGTAAGGCCGCTGATAATAATGCAGTGCCCTTCTGAAATTCTTTTTAGCTTAGAGCAAGCATAACAACAATGAGGAGAATAATCGTGATTTTTTTTTATGCCATGCCCTTCTGAATCTCTTTTTTGCTTGAAGAAAGCAATCCGAACAATGTTGATAAGAAGAATGGCATTGTTAGCCGAGGTCTACCACCTCTGCCGGCCCCCACCGAAGCGCACGGGCGATCCTGAGCGTCTCATTGCCGGCCGGCCCGGTTTTAAGTGTTTAGGGTTCAACTCGCATCGGCCTCATTATGAGTTTGTTGACAGGGTTTTGGAGGATTTTCCATCTAGATTTTAAAAAATACCTGCAAGCAAGAGCTTTCATTTAGGGCCTACCTGGCTGGTAGATAGACTTACAGGGTTTAGGATTTTGGGCCAAGCTGGCTTATGGATGATAAGGGCCCTATTGGAGGACCTGCGCTTCGGGCTGTGGGATCTGAAGGTTTCGGTCGGAATTGTCGAACGTGGGGTTTTGGTGCGAAGCTGCCCCCACCCTGTAATAGTGACTACAAGGAGTATTAGGGCCCAATTATATTCCTATTATACCACTATTACAGGGTGGGGGCCCCTTCTAAGGTTTTGGCTTAAGCTTAATCAGGGGCTTGAAGTGGGGCTTCGACATGTAGGATCACAATCGAAGTAAGAGAGTTGGAATGAAATGACCCCCCAACCTGAAACTTTCTAAAGGAGGAAAGCAGGTAGGGTTGAGGATGCAGGAAGGTTGTGCCGCGTATGTTTGTCGCTTGTATTCATGGAGGCCCATGCTAATATGATGAGACCACCCCAAGCCCTTAACGAACCGCGTGAAGCCTCTCGGCCCGTCATAGAACTCCAATCCCTGAATTTTCAGCTTTACGGGTTTATCGGCCTATTGGACATAGAAATGAGAGAAGCTGTAGAATAGGGTTTCGGGTTAAGGGGCTATAATAATAATGTAGTGGACCGACTTCTGACTATACGTACTTGTCATTATCACTTGCGGCGTGAAACACGCAATCTGCAGTACGAATCTCGAAGTACGGTTTCGGGCGTAGCGTTTAGTCAGTTTAGTGCTGAATCTTATTATTTTGTGGGGGTTCCTTAGTATATAGTTATGGTCTAACGGGGCCCAAAATCCTCATAGTGGGGTGTTGCAGCTGCTGAGGTTTGCACGCAGCCGCGTCGTTTGGCGGCCATCTCGCTTGCACAGCCTCGGGTCCAAGTGGAGTTGAAGCAGGTCTTCAGAATTAGTGTATAGCGTATAGCTGACATCTACATAGCTGGTGCGTGTTGCGAACTACAAGTCATGGATTTGGCGCATTAGCAGGGAGGCAAACAAACTTTCCGGAGTTGCTGAAGCCGAAGCCACAAATCCGGTACCCTAAGTCCTGTGCACCGCCTGCGCAGCGACTGTCCCATCCTGTACGCGGATATTTGACTGGTTTGTGAGTGCTCAAGTGAGAACTGGCTACGCGTTGCACTGTAGCTTATTTCGTGCCGGAAAAGGGTTGACCTCGGACCGTGTTGGTTCATACCCCCGCTCCTGCGCTTAACCGAATGATTCTCGCTTGATCCATCTATTTGCTTTTCGATAGCGAGGTTAAAAGATGCCCTTCAACCAGTCTAAACTGAAACCTTACCCCTCAACATCCCTTAATCGAGACCTAAACGTCGCTAACCTCTAGGCCAACATCCCCTCACCGAACCCTATGGCCCTATGTCTAAATATCCCTCGACCCTGATCCCTAGTCCCCGATACCCTACATCTTGAAAGTCTTAAGAGACCCGGAAGCTGAATCGAGGCGCGTGGCCAAGGAGATGGGCCCGCAGCTCAGGGGGTACCGTATGTATGCATGCATAGATGCGTGCATACGTATAGGCAGTAGTAGTAAGCAACACTGAAACCAATAAGCGACTGAAAGATGGCACATCGCACCGCTACTGTATTCATGTATATGTATATTTGTGATTATGTATACACACATATGTTAATTACATATATGTATATAGTGTGTATACTCATCGGCCTGATCGATGAGAGAAGGATTTGTGACACACTATACTTTATATGTTTTCTGGATTAAGAAGGTTTTAGGAATGTTCGGGACGTTTTTTTTGTATTGGTTCGGACTTGCAGCATACTGGCGGTAATGATGAGGGTGCTAACATTTGCAAGTCTTTAAGTTCAGAAGAGCTGTAAAGCCCGGCCCCAGGTAATGGTTCCGCGTTAGGTGCATTCAGAAGAAGTAATGGATATAGCCGCTTGTTTTGTGGTTGCTACGTTTGTTCAGCTTTTCTCCAAATTATCTTTCTGAAATTCTTGGTGGTGGAGAACTCCCTTAGGATTGTGAATCTGCTTCTCAAAAGGAGTTGTCCTTCCTACACTGGTTGGAGTGAGAGAGCACGTTGCTTCCGCATGCCAAGGTGCAGGTCCCGTAGCCTCCACTGCGATTAAGTCGCTTAATCCTCTCCCCCTAATTTTAACAGGCGGGAGGGCCGCCCCCCTCTCCCTCAATGAAAGCTCGAAATGCAGTTTTAATATTAGGGGTGCGTAGTGCCGATACGTGTTACCAAGCGTTACCCGGCAAAACCCTCAGGAGGCCTAGATGCAAAAAAGGGTGCTACACACACTTGCCTTCATTCTGGATAGGGGATCTGGTTGAGGGAATCGGATGAGTAGGTTTCGGAGTTTCGCGGTTCTGCTTCAAAGGCCGTAGAATGAGAGAGCTTCCGTTCATTGAGAGATTCATCTACAAGATGTGCCGTCCACAACAAGATTCAAGCTTCATCTCGCTTCCTTGGACGATAATCAAAAGGAGGGTGAATTGTACCCACGTACGAGCTGCTACGAAGCCTCTGCCCAAGGCGAATCTAGCGTTGGTGGCGTTGTCGGCTTCCGCATTGCAGGCTACAGCACAGCCAGGGATAGATAATGCATTGCAGCCGTCGCATGATCAGGGGTTTCGCTTTCCCATGTGATTATTGTGATTGTGCCGAATCCTGAAAGAAAATGTGGATGGGGTGCTGCTGGCGAGTTGTGCTGATCGTACCCCCTGCAAGGCCTCAGCCCCACCGACATGCCAAGTTGTCTTGGGCTTGAGGGTTCATGTCCAGTCAAATCGCGCTAAAATACAAAACTTGAAACATCTTCTTTTGGCAATCCTCAACCCTAGGTTACTAAGTCTTCTCTTGCCCGTTCTATGTGCGAGAGCTGCCTTCGAAGAGGTGAGAGCGCCTTCGACGCTCGCCGCACGCGCTTGCTGTTCGCCCATGGCTCAGCAAAGGGTGCGGGCAACGGCGAGAGTTTGGGATTTGGGTTTCAGAATTTCGAGTTTTGGGCCTCGGAGCTATAGGATTTCATTTTTTTTGGTATCGTCGCGACGTGGGCGGCTTTATGATCCAACACGGTTCGGTTGCAACAAGCCTTCCTCAGTGTAGCTTGCAGATTCTTAGACAAGGGCAAGCGTCAACATAGACCCTGATGAGTGGTGTGCTTCTACACCAGAACCAAGTCCACTCTTCTGGGCTCTAAGGCGCTCCAAATCTCTGCCATCTTTAGGAGGACAAACAGACGCCAACCAAGCAAGCACAGATATCATGAACCCAGCCTCGCCCCACGGCAGAGGGCTGCGCGACAGTCCCTTTTGGGCTTTGGTAGAACTGCTCAGGTGACGGCTGGCTACTTGCTCCAAGTACTGGTGCTGTGCTCGGTCACGCCTTGGCGTTCTACGAGCATGCACGTCGGGTGTAAAGCTGAAGGTGTCGGAATTCCGCACAGGGCCCTTTGGCTTGTTGAGGTTTGAAGGCAGTCGTGAGGAATCGCGGGCCTTTGTGGGGCAGGGTTTGAGGGCGCCTTTCGAACAAGCTACAAAACACTTCCAAACCCCTACAATCCCCTATATAAAGATCGCAGAAGATCCCCCAAAAAAGCCCTTTTTTGAAGCTCGTTGAGGGTTGCCAAGAAGCTCCCGGGGTCGCCTTTGACCCGACTGGGAGCTTCGGAAAGTAAGGGACCCCGAGCAGACCTGCACTTGGTATCTAGGTAGGGCTTTGGGACATTTTATACTTTCCCTTATTGGGCTTAAGAGGATCTTATTTACTAATATTTTTTCGAAGCTTTAAAAGCCCATTGTTGCTGCTATTCCCGGTGCTACTGTCTGTAACTATTTGCGATAGCCGGTTTATTGTTGCCATCACCGGCCCCACCACTAATAGTAGGTGAAGCTCGAGCAGGACTGCAGACGTTGTAACCCATTGACTATAGTCCACGGATGCGATAGTACTGATTATTATAAGTTAGCACTCCTATTCCCTGTTGGGTTTAAGTCCACAGAAGCATGTAAGATGCTTCTCAAGTATGACAAAGAGGAGCTATCGGTTGAAAATAGCGCTCTGCTACTGAGCACGTGCCAGAAACGATAGTGAACCGATGTTAGGTGGGAAACGGGACTTCAGCCAGTCTCTCGGGCTTTTGCATTTGGGGCAGCATCCACGTAGATTCCAGGAAAGCTTTGCCTGAGGATGGTTTGACACTTGACAGCTGCATGTCTTCGCGTGAGGTCCATGATCCAGGGCAGATTCATCGTTATTCTCACGTGATTCTGGATGAGGCTGCGATGGGCTGTGGTAGAGATAAGTCAGGGACGGGTTTGCACATGTCGCGCAAACTGCTAAAGACTTAGCTGGGGCACAGACTCTGCATGAAGGGCATCTGCATGAGACTTGATCCCCGCAGCTGCTCCGTGTCTTGTAATTGCTCTGTTTCTGCTGGATGTGGCCACACCGGGCTCGAAGCGAGAGCCTGACTTGGAACTTGGAAGCCTCGATAGGCAAGTAAAAACTATCAGCTCCAAAAATCAGAAGGGAAGTCCCACAAGCTGAGAGATTTGGTCTTGCTGGACAATTCCTAGGCCCCTACAGCAGACGGTGTGGATCTTTCCCGGATACCTAACAGATCGACAATCCAGGCGCCCCAAACCAAATGCTCTAGACTTATCTTCCGCCGATTTCGGCCATCGCCTTTGTAAGCCTGCCTAGCCTGCGATCGTCATCACCACCGGTGTCATCATCCCCACTGCCAGCCCAAACATGTTTGGGCATCACCCCCCTAACTTAGTTAGCGAGGGAAGAAGGATAGACTTAGAAGCGCTTTCTTTTGACGACACCGAGCAGCCCTCATGTACTGGCTGGCAGGGGCCTTCCTAGCCGCTTGGTCGGACATATTTAGCTCATTTCAGTGGTGTAGAACGTCTTAAGCTTGGAGCTTCAGGATGTCAATGTAGACTTTCAGAGCTTTCTAGCGGACGTTGGAGCTTTCGGGCTTTGTCGGTTGAGGGCCAAGGCGAGCTGCAGGACATCGACTTTAGCGGAGCTCAACTCGTAGCACCAGCACAGTCTTGCAAAGCCGGCACAGGTGGAACATGTCCACTGTCATGAAAAAACACGTTAGTGTGTGTATATTTCTGTATACGCACATGCATATATTTATATAAACCTAGATACGTCTGTATATGTAAATATGTACAGTTGTATGAGTGTATGTATATATATATATATATATATATATGCTCACACCCCCCCCCCCCAAGACCTACCGCGAGGTGCTTCGGCTAGCAATGGGTAGTAGAACATGTAAGGATTTGAGGAAACCATTAGGATAAAATACACTCATACATAAACAATGGAAACGTATATCGTGTATAATCAATAGCTGAATACACTGTAATGACCTACGACGGCGCGACATCGCCGTTGGCGGATTTGGGCAAGCTTCAATGCCTGCAATTGTTTAATAGGATACTGCCTAAATGTTCCGGATATTCATAACTCTGGTCATATAATGACCATAGGCATAACCCGAAGACAGGACCAAGACAGAACAGTGTCTACATCCTACGTAAGATCGTTAGATGCGCCGGGTAGCTTTGTGTTTGTCATTGTCTGTTTTTAATTTTGTTCATGTACTCATAGGCATAACCCAAAGACGGGACCAAAACAGAACGATGTGTGCATCCTACCTAGGATCGTAATGAGGGTTACATGTGCACACATGTTTATTCTGTGTGAAGCTCTTAGGTTACTCATGCGCCAATGTGTATAATAGCTATTACTAGTGCGAATACTAATACTGATACTAAGATTTCTATTCCTACGAATAAGGATATTACTGTTCATAACATAATAGGCTTAATGGTTAATACTAGTATTAAAAATTGCACTACTAATTCGAATAGTAGTGCTGATGGGAATATTAACACTCCTGGGGATACTAATACGCATATTCTTATTAACTGTTCTCAATATGAATACTAATAGTACTAGTTGTTTGGAATACTAATACTTGTCCGAATATTCATACCAATACTCAGGCTACTGCGATTATACATAATAGGACATTAATATGGGTATTCGTATTAAGGTCAGCATTTCCTTCGAAAGTATTCATATGCGCATCATAATTCATCTTAATACTCGTACTGATATGAATTAGTATGATTACAAATACTTTTACGAAGACGGGTACTTTCAGTAATACCGATACTAATATGAATACTAGTGTTCCTACGAATATTAAAAAACATACCCATATTGATAGTAATTTTATTTTTTATTTGTTACCAATATACACGCAAATGCTAACATTAATACTAATATGCACATAAGTGATACAGTTCCTCCGCAGATTAATGCGCATAGTCTTATTAATTATTCTCAGTATTTATATTCACATTAAAAAACCTACACTAACATGAATAGCAGTATTACCACTTGATACTCCAGATAATACGATTATGCATAGTATGAACAGCGATACTGCTATTGATACCAATATTAATGCTCCTACGAATACTAATAATCACGTTCAAACCAAATACAAAAAACAGACACATCAATGTACCAAAGAATCTGTATTTTCACATACCAATAAATAATATACTCGTATACTACTATTCCAATGTTACCATAGACTATGAGACTATACACTGGTTAATATTAACACTAAGAATAAGGCAGAGACTAAGACCAAGACTAATACGAATACTAAAACTCACACTAGACATTAACACTACCATTAGTACACCTATTGTATAGACTTATATTCAGACTAATACTAACGCTGACATTGGAATTGACATTGACACTGACACCAACACTAACAGTAACACGAATCAACACGCTAGAACGCAGATACTAATACTAACACTAATGCCTAATGCACATCTGAAGACTACTGCGCGTAAACAACGAAACCATTTCCGATCAAGCATGCTGCGCGCTGTATTGGCTCTAAGGCTCCGAGAACCAAAAATCCAAAAAACCAAAAAACCAAAAATCCAAAACCTTTGTCAGGGGGGTCGAAACTTTTGGATTTTTTGGTTTTCCTAGGGTTTTTTTGGTTTTCCAACAGAAAACCAAAAAAATCCAAGGTTTTTTTGGTTTTCCAGCAGAAATCCAAAAAAATCCAAGGTTTTTTTTGGTTTTCCAGCAGAAATCCAAAAAAACACAGGTGTTTTTTGGTTTTTCACGAGAGACACAGCAGAAAAACCAAAAAAACCTTGTGTTTTTTTGGTTTTCCACCGAAAATCCAAAAAAAGCCATGGTTTCGCCAAGGCAAAGCCCAAAAAACCAAAAAAGACCTAGGAAAACCAAAAAATCCAAAAGTTTCGGGCCCCTCAGAAAGGCTTTGGATTTTTGGATTTTTGTTTTTTTGGTTTCCGCCGTCGTATCGTATGGTTTCTTTTAATGTTTCTTGCTTATGAATACAGGCATATGAATTTGAAAGCGTACATGAGTAGGCACGACGTCGTAAAGAGACATGACTTCACATCAGCCATGATAGAGAAGGTATCATCCCCGAAAATTACGCAAAACACGAATCGTATGCCAAACGCGAATCCCTGCCAAGAGAAGGTTTTGACGGTATTTACAATGGAAAAGAGGCCGAGGTAGGTCATGGGGGGGGGTGTGTCCATATATATATACACACACACACATGAATACAACTCAACTATGCATCATGCTCCTTGTCCCGCAGTTGGCCATCGTGGCCATCTTGCTGTCGAAGTTCGCCAAGAAAAAGCCTCCATGGCCCTTCAAGAAGCTACAGCGCCCCTCGAAAGCAGAGAACAATGGGGATACGGATACTGGCTGCGTAGTATTGCGTAGTATAGAGTGTTCCGGTTAATTAATGTAAGCCGCGAATGGTTGCACAGCTCTGCGCGCTTCAAGTGTAGCTGATAGCAAGCCCTGGTCGCTATAGTGGCAGCTACACGTGAAGTTGCGGGGATGGGCATTGTTGGAAACTGAGGGGTCCGAAGTTGTTACTTCAAGACGGGGCCAGCAACTCAAGCTATACTAGCAAGGCTTGTGCCAAGAGGTTCCACCCTTTCAGATGATGACATCGTCCGAAGCGCCTGAAATTCCATGACCTTCTGGAAGCCAAGCCTCAGCTGCATGTTCGAATGATGGCTGCTCCAGAAACCGACCAGCACACCCTCTCGGTCCTCTTCGCTTCAGCAGCTCTCCACCTCTGCCACTGTCGGCTTTCACGCTGTTATCCATGGAGTTTTCAACGGAAGAAGGCCGCTACCCTGTTACTGATGCCAATCATAGTCACTGGAACCTGATGGAAAAAGTGCAGTCGAAGCGCGGGCTGACACAGCAAATGCCATGTAATTGCAGGCTCTACAGATTGGAGATATCACGGCCTAAATCCCCAAACCGTCGAATGCCAATCTGTGAGATTAAGGCGAAGGCAAGCATCACTCAAATCCGCTGCCCATGGGCGGAGACGACTTCGAGGCTGCGGTGCCTCTGGGTTTCAGGCTTGAGGCGCAGACATGTGATTCTGAAGGAGTGGATTTAGGCCTGTCTTTCTTGCTGCGATGACCGTCTGATACTTGGAGAATGTCAGGATCGCGTATTTTGCAGCTTTACCTACATAATTATCTAAATATGGGTGCTCTGATGTCAAGTGCAAAGCCAACGACCTAACCCTGAATTCTCAAGCCATGCAGGAGGCAAAAAAGACAGGGGACCTGCTTTGAGATGGCAGCAACCACCGCCACCACCAGCATCACCACCAACACCGTCGCGGCCAAAACCAACACATCCGCAGTCGTGCCAAACCGCCACCAACAGCGAAACCCCCAAGGCACGACAACGACAAACCCTGACCCAGTGATATGTTCTACTTGCTGAAAATCCCATACGACCCGTATCAAGCCCTCAAGTAGGACTTTGCTCGACCTTTCTGAAAGTTTGCTTTGCCTGAAGCCCTATTTTCAACTACAGCCCTGAGCACCCCCACACATTGCGCTTACCTCCCCCTAGCCCCAGAACTATACATAGTAGCCGAGTAGGTAACCTTTAACTTTTTGGGGTTCATACAATCCTGCCATAGCTGAAAAGGTGAACCTGTCTTCGTGGAGGGTACTCAGTATTTGTTTCATCCCTCGGAGGAGCGGAAACGCGACTTTGCCCGCACGGTGGCTCCGAAGTTGGACTCAGGTCTCCTAGAGCCCTGGCTTGTCAGGGTTTCAGGGTTTAGGGGGTTTCAGGGAGTTCAGGCAAAGGCGTGCTTCTGAGGGCATGGATCACAGATTCGCAG